AGTATTCTTCCCCTAAATCTGAGGTGTAAACACCTTCTGTAAACCGGTGAGATTTTCTCCTCAGTTGTTCCGTGACCGTCTTCGTCACCTGACTGTGGTTCCTGTCGCTAAGCCGAGAGGCTCACGTCTGCGGTGTTGCATTGTTTATGAAACAACAGCTTTGTGTGAGGCCATTTTACCGTTAGTGTATTGTATTTACGGTCACACACAGAGAGGGAGTTTATGAGCCCTGCAAAGAGTTATTAGAAAGCATGTAGTGTTGTGTTGCATTTCACACGCACCTGACCTCCGCGCTGGGCCTCACACCCTGCGTGGCCTTTCGACGCTGTGATGGGTGTACTCACTTCCTGTTTTCTGTTGGTTTCCTGTTATTGTATATGTATAACCTGGATGGACCCGCTGGTTCATATTTGTTTGATGTGGATATTGGTCTGTTGAAGCGGTTCATGTTAAGGCGCCTTTTTGCCGCCAAAAACAGAAAAAAAGTTTAATATTGGATGTGCAAAACCTGAACGTTTCTTTTCTTCTCTCATCTTTCTATCACTGTGATATTCAAGTAGTTTTCAGTAGTCTATGCAAAAGGTCAAGAGGTTATCTGAGGTTTACCATACAGGCTCCAGCACAGGTTCCTTTGTTTAACTCAGGGGGGGTCACTACACTTCATAAGATTCACTAATTTAAACACTCAAAACTAAATCTGCCTCACTGAGGTCAAACAATAACCCCTGCTTGTTTTTTCTATCAAGGCAAATGGCTCATGTGCCTTTTCTTATAAGTTGAAACGTGGTTGATTTTATATAAATGGCATCCTTCTCAGCTATTTCTATGATCTCACTATATGTCTAAAAGCCGCTGTGGTCTTGACGGTGAACTTTACCTCACATTCTCAGCCCTCTGCCCACATAAGGACCTAAAAATGGAGAGCCAAATACATGCACTCCTCACACCAGCAGATAGCACTGTCACCTGTTTGTCTGAGAGCGTGTGTACATGCGTGTGTCCACAGGATATTAGTCCAGCCGTCGCTCATAAAGCCAACGTGAAGGAGTCATTATTAGGCCACCTTAAGGTTAGGTACAAACACCACATCAGACCTGTATTGACAATATCAACAGAGATTAGCTTGTCTGATATTTTCACAGTTTGCTCTGGAGCGACTAAGCTCTCCTCCAGCAGAGGGAAGGTTCATGAAATAATTACTAAATAATAACAATAGCTCGCACATCAACTTGAGAAAACCTCCCAGCTTGCCTTTGTTTGCAGAGATTGTGTGTCGCTCTCCAGCCTCCAAACATTCCTCCGTTTCTTTTCTTGCCTCTTCTCAGCTCTTCCTCCGCTGTGACAGTTCAGGGTTTTGTTGACAGTATCAACAGAGATTAGCTTGTCTAATATTTTGGTTTAATCCAGTTTGACATTATACAGTGTGATCTGCTGTGGAGGTAAAATTCTGAGATAATAGGAGACAAAAAACAAAAGCTAAATGTTGAACTGGGAGTGTCTGCTTTTTTGTATTAAACAGTGTCTGAATAGACGTAGTGCTGAAAATATCTCATCAAAATCACTTTTTAAAATCACTTTTTACCTCTTATTTTTAACTTAATCCTAGAGTGACCTCAATTATGAAAGTAATTGAATATATATTAGTTTTTTCTTTGTGTGGAGAATTAATACTCCTTTTATTTTCAATGGATTTAGCAAATACGCAGAGTCTCCAGTGATAGGAAATGATTTATACATGTTAAAAGTAATACTTTATATGAATCAAGCTTTCGTTTTACATTGAATAAGCAATGTTGGACAGTAAGGTTAAGTTCATGCATGTGTGGAGAATTAATATTCTTTTTATTCTCAATGGATTTAGCAAATACTGCGAGTCTCCATCATAGTATTTGTCTGTGCCAGTGATAGTAAATGATTCATATATGTTAAAAGCAATACTTTATATGAATTAAGCTTTTGTTTCATATTGAATGTGCAGTGTTGGATAGTTAGGGTTGAAATCATGCTGTTTTCCTAGTTAATTATTGATCTGCTACCCCTAATTAATGCCAATACAAACATTATTTTGGTACACATGTCCGTGAGGTCAAGCAGTTCAACCACTCTTTATTTTTTTTACCAAATCATTCACAGTAAAATATCCTGTCAAGTAAAAAAAAAGTTTTATTGAGCAAAGGAAAAAATTGTAAAAAGGTCGTAAATAAAGGTGTTTAAGTCTGTGCGCGTGAACATCTGTGTGGAGCCGGTAATAAATGCAGGACCGCCTCACTCTAATCAAGCTGATTAAAAATTCCTGCGCGCACAGCCGGAAATCGCACCACCGTCCTCCTCTGTTGTGTGTGTGTGTGCATGTGTGTGTATGAAAGTGTGTGTGCATGCGTGTGTGTTTATGAGGTCTCTCTCCCTTGTACACTTTCTCCACTTTATTCGTCTCCTGTCAGGACTTTTCCGGCCTGACACGCGGAGGAATCATGTAGTTCTTATTTTACAAAAGGGGATTATTCCTCTCCCTCTCTCCCTCTCTCACACACATATTCACCCCCTCTCCCTCCTCCTATCTTCTATTTTTTTCCCATTTTTTTACCCCCTCTTCCTCCACGCCATTTGAAATGAAGAGGAGAAAGAGAGAGCACGGGCAGGCAGCAGCAGCAGCAGCGAGGAGAGAGAGAGAGAGAGGGAGAGAGAGCAGAGGGGGGGAGTGATGAGTCAATACAACTAATAATTTAATGGGGACAGAGAGGGAGAGACGGAGTGAGAGGGGGAGAGACAGAGAGGGAGATAGAGAGAAAGAAAGAAAGAAAGAGGAGCTCCGTCCGGACGCCTATTCCCAACCAACAGGACACCTCCTACTATTACTATCGCAGGCAGCTCTCTTATGCATCCACAGCAAGCCTTATTTCATCCGCGACGTTGGAAAGTAAACCGCACTTTTTGACCCCCTCCTCCTGCTTGTTTTATTCCGCGAACCTGTTCCGACTGTCCGCATATCGTCTCCACATCGCCTCCAACGCGATAGCAAGCTCCACACTGACGGTTATTATTATTATTTTGCAGTCAGTCTCCACCGGCAGTCCGACGTTGATCTATTTTTTCCTCTCTCTCTCTGTCTGTTGTATACGTTACGTTTCCCCCCTCCGTGAAACATACACAACGAAGGGGGTTTTATTAGGTCTCAGCGGCGGGTGTTATCATTACAACTGTGTCCGAGGTGCTTTTGGTTTCCACACGGGCGACAGCTAACTGTACCTACCGCCTTGCCCGTCTATTCGGATGTTGTGGAGCGAACTAAAGAAGCCGAAGTCGCCTTCACTTGTAACCGTTGGACGCGGCGGCTAACCGCTCACTTTTATGCTAGATGTCGCAGGGTCCAACGGTTGACGTTTTTTTTCCTCCAGTTGGACGGAATTAGCTAACGGGCACACACACGCACACACACTCGCACACACACATTACCGCTTACCAATGTTCGCCTATCACGGTCCATCTCGACCTCGTCGTCCCTCTCACAGACCCGGGTTGTTGTTTATTCGCACCGCCTGCCAGTCCTCCTCCTCCGCGAAGAAGAGCAGGAGGAAGCGTCTTTTTAAACACTGATTTATTTAGTCTCAAACCTGCTGTCATGCATACGTAGAGAGGGGGAAAAGAGAGGAAGAGCAGGAGTTGTTTGGGGGTTTCTCTTCTTCTTCTTCTTCTTTTTTTTTTTTTTTTTTTACCCTGGCCAAACTTGAAGAAGACGCGTTTTCCAGCCGGTGTTATATGCTCCTCACTGCTCAAGTGCTGCGTTCAAGGTTGGTTTCTCTCTCAACTTGTCCCCCTTTTTTAAAACCTTTATATGTACATTTGAACTATTGCTCCTGTATCTTGTGTTTTTAAGGGTCATTTAAAAATCCTGACCTGGATCCCCGGGTCTGGATTCCTTTATTTGTGGGGAATTAGTTGCCTCATTGCATGTCATGAATAGGGGAGTTCATGATCTTTTGCGTGGGGGTGGATGATTTTGCCCCTTTTCACTCTTTGACAAACAGCATTCCTGTCTATGCTCATCAGCACAACCTGCATGCAGAGTCACCCATGATAACTTTCATTCAACGCATCTTGAGTTATATATTGACCATAACTTCAAGTTCACCTGGGGAGTTCTGATCATTCATAAACGACAAACTCAATCCTCAGTCAATCAGTAAAGCACCTGTGGTCAAACTGTGGTGGGGACTCCATCTCTCCTCCCTCTCTTTCTCAGTCTCCTTTCCTTTCTCAACTTTTTCATGCTGTCTTCATGAGTCAGCAACTTGTCATTTGAAGTTGTGCTGCCTTTCCCCACCACCCTTAAGTTGTAAACTCATTCCTTGACATCACTTTTCTCTTCACACGCACTGCTAAAATTCAAAGTTCACACCTGTAAATCTATGTAACTGATTTCAACGTGTGTCACTCACAGAAAATCGACATTGTCGCCTTTCACCTTCCTCCCCCTCCCGAGCTGCGTCATGAATGTGAAGCCGCACCAAGTGACTCAGAAACCGAATTACGTTAGTTTCCCCTCTCTGCGTGCGCCGCAGCAGCAGAACCTTGTTCCTTGAACTGCACTGTATTCATCCAAGTGGAATCTCCTAGCAAATTAATGTGTTTGCACTAAAACCGGAGCTTGTTTGCCCCCTCTCGCATGGGAATCTCAAGCGGGACACCCATACATAATACATGCGTTGAAAAATGGGAACATTACAGCAGCACGGAAACGTCACCGTGCTCTGCGTTGACATAACTGAAACGAATTGACAGTTGTTGCCGTAATGGGTTTGTTCTCAGAGGTTTCAGTTACTTTAAGAACATTTTTGGTGCTTTATAAAAATTTCCCTTCTCGTCTTCACATCTCTGCGATATCAACACAAAAGATTTTATGTTCACTGCTACTCTCGCATCACCTTTCATTCCTCTTTCTCATTTGACAGCTGAATCCCTGTGTGTGTCTCCCCAGGTGATAGTGAGCAGAGGTGCTGAGAATGATGGAACATCTCAGCGAGGCGTGTTTGGGCAAGGAGAACTCTGAGCTGGTCAACAGCATGGCAGAGGCCAAGGCCCCGCCGGCCAAGCTGCCCCGGCTGGAGCAGAACGGCAGCCCCCTGGGCCGGGCCAGGCTGGGCAGCACTGGGACCAAACTCGCCGGGGTCCCTTACAAGCCCACCGGGCACCTGCTGAAGACCTGCCACAAGAGAGGTAAGAGAAAGAGAGAGTGAGGAGGTGTGAGGATGTACGATTCATTGAAGTGAAATACACCAACAGTTTTCTAGAGTTTTATGTTTAGTATTTTAGAGCAAAAATGACAAATGAAGGTTTATGTGTTTTTGTCAAGGGAACCTCTTTGTCTGAATTCTCTTGTAGAAAAAGTATTGATCGCAAACTTTTCACGTAAAAAAACACAGACATTTGCTTCCCTAAATGTGAGGATTTATATCTGCTTTTCTTTGTCTCATGTGACAGAGAACTGAATATATTTGGATTTGAACTTTCAGTGGGACTAAACAGACAGTCGCTCAAGGCTATGAGGAATTATTATGGAGATTTTTCACGATTTTCTGACTTATTTTTGGTTATTTATCAATAAATCTAGAAAATTTAGATTGCTGTGATTATTCCCAGCCTCATGCTCTGTCGTCTATTAGACTCAAGCTAATAAATACACCAAATATTATCTTAAAAAAAATCATAAAGACATTATCTTTCATCTGCAGACCCAGCCTTCATTAGAATATAAAACAAATATAGTAAAACTAACTTTGCTGACACATTCGGCACCAGTAACAAAAAAGAATAAATCATGTAAATAGAGGAAAGCTATTTAAATGCAGTTTAAAAAGCCCCCCCCACCCACACACTCAAACACACCACCTTCCACCCTCCACCACAGCCCCCTGCCTGCTCTTAAAAAACTCTTAAACCTTTTTACAATGCATCTTTAGTCATCTCTGCACACACACAATGCACGCACTCCCACTTATTTGCAGAGACAATAGCTAATAGAGGAGCACAGTGAGAGTTATTCTGCGAGGGGCTGTGTCACCGCTCCTCTCTCTCCAGCCGCAGCCCTCCTGCTCCGACGTTTGTTTATTAGGAGAAACTTTCTGTCCTTTAAGAGCCATTCCTGTTCAAAGGGAGCCTTTACTTTCAGATTATGACATAGCTTTTTAATATAACTGGTGTCATTGGGTGAAAAACACGGCAGGCAAAGCTATCCAAAATATGTATCTTTTTATGAGTATGTTTTTTTTTTAGTGGTTTTGAAATGAAAACTGCAGGTCGGAGTTGTATTTGTGCTTGCCAGCGAAGACTCGTCTGTTTGTTTGTTTGGCTGGTTCGGTCGTCTTTGGGCATCAGGGACTCAGGAACTCTTGGAATGTGGCTGTGTGAGTGTCCTCAGATGGGCCGTTTCTCTTATTTGCTCCTTTAATCTACGTGTCGCGCTCCAGCTGAGAGAGCCTAATTTTTCACCTTCATCATCTCCGCTTCTCTTGGCCTCCTACGACTTTTGTTCCTCCTCCCCTTTTCATCTCCGCTCGGTTTCTGTCTCTGAGTTTCTTCCTGGGTAAAGGGTGAAGCAGCCGGCTGGAGGCGGGCGGTCCGCCGCGGAGGCTTCGCAGAGAGGGCCCACAGTGGGCATTGTGTCCGAGCCCGAAACAATATTTACCGCAGCCCTCTCTGGGCGCCCTGGAAACAAAGCCAGTATTGATCCCCCAAATGAACCTACACAGCAGTCTTTATTGTTAGATCTTTATCTATTAAAATCAGGGCAGGAGAAAAGCAGCTCTTTCAGCACATTCCCTGGCATCTGTCGGCTTATTGATTGTTTTGCCAGAGCTTTGTGCATCTTCTGGAATGCCTGGGATTTGAAAAAATATAAGAATGGGAATCGTGATAATCGGCAAAGACAATAAATGTAGAGAAATTTGTTCAGGTGACGGACGAGTGGAGACACACTGAGAAAGAGGCAACAGGGCAGCTCGTAGACACTGTGAAGGCAGCTGTGAAGGCCTCCTCCTTCTACAACAGTTTTACTATGTGTCGATTTTCAGGTGTTTGAACCAGATGTAGGCTTTAAAAGACCAAGTGGTCCCAATGCTTTCAAACTTTTTTAGTCTAACAGCGTGCTGTTTGATGAAGAAGGCTTTACTGGATTATATTTGCACAGCGAGTCTCTTAGACGTTCACTGGTCTTTAGACAAGGATTGCCCATTCCAGCTAAAAAGCAGAGCCGCTGTTGACAAAGACTGTGAAACACCAGGGTGCAGAGGTGGTGAGATTCGAAGCACTGCATCATGGGAAGAGGAGTTTTAGTGGATAGGCAGCGAGGGAGCCTGTGTGATCCCAGAAACCTCGAATGGAAAAAGAATTTTAAGGATTTTACTCTTTGCTGTTTTTCACACAGAGCTGCAGACATCCATCCTTTATTGCTAAAACATTTGATTTCCACTTCTTAATAATATTTTATCATCTGAAGGAGCTCGAGATGAATTCAAGGCTAAGGGAGTAATCAGAAATGTTCTCAAAATGGGATCTAAAATGAGCAAACCAGGAGGAATATCAGAATTTACTGGAGAAAATAAAAAAACTGTAAATGGCACACAAGCTACAAAGAAAAATAAATCTGCTCTCTGAAATCGTGCAGGTTCCTCTGCAGATGAAGAGTGTTTGAACCGCCACAGTGATGTATGTGACAGCTTGGCATTGAGTCAACGGACTGAAGGTTCAGTTCGAAATGGCCCTAATAAAGATGAAAAATGCCTTTGTGTGGTCAAAACTCCAAACTTAATTCCTCTGCAGGACTTCCACTCAGTAGCAATGTAATCACTCACTCATAATCCCTTGACACTCAATCTCAGTGTAACCTAATCATCAGCGCTAAATATTAATCTCCTCCCTCTGCAAACACAGAATACTTGAAGGTCAAAGTTTGAATGTGAGGAAATGTGAACCCTTCCTCTTCTCACTCGCGTCTCGCTGTGTCCTCAGGCAACATGCTGCCTGTGTTCTGCGTGGTCGAGCACTACGAGAATCCCATGGATTTTGACAGCAAGGAGGAGCATGCAGAGTTCGTCCTGGTGCGCAAGGACATGCTCTTCAACCAGCTCATCGAGATGGCCCTGCTGTCGCTGGGCTACTCCCACAGCTCGGCCGCCCAGGCCAAAGGTAAGCCGCTGATGTCACCCATTGACTCCCATCATCCTCTCTTCCTTCTCTGCCCTCTTGTTTTATCTCTCTAATGCTCATTAATGTCTGCTGTACAGCGTTTTCTGACAAGCTGCACACACTCAGACTCCCTATATGCACACACACACCCACTCACACACACTCTCTGTGACCATAATAGCCGACCGCCAGCAGATCTGAAGCCACAGTAACACATCCTGACACTGATCCCAGACAGGAGATGCTCAAGCCTCTCAGAGGTCACACACACACTCACACATTCCCACACAGAGGCTAAATGCACAGACTTACTCTCAAAAATGTTTGTATGCCAGCACACATACTGTGCAGACGTGCAAGTAACACACACACACACACAAACACACACATACACTCTCATAATGTATATATTTATACACACTTACCCTCAGTGAGTCAGTGGGTGGGAGGGGCAGGTGGAGGAAAGGGTCTACTAATTGCACTTGAGCACACGCAGGCCGAGGGTGGCTGTTTCAAGGTGCCTCTTAGTGTGCTCTTTTATTATAGCCTGTCCATCACATACACACACTTACATACACACACACACTTACACACACATATCCTAGTCCTCCTCTTCTATAAGCTTACTTCCTGCTGTGTGGGCTGCATCTTTTTTGAGGCAGTCTCAGGAGGAATTTTTGCACGGTTGTTGGGATTTTAGGAACAAATGAAGTGTGTTGAGGGTGTTTATGGCACCAAAAGGCTTTTTTTGTGCGGCTACATGTGGCTTTATTCATGATGTGCATGTGTTATTTCTGAGCAGGGGTGTAGGAAAATATGCAAACACTCAAGTATTGTGCAATCTTTTAATGCACTTTATCAACCCTTACAAACACTGTATTGATTTTTAATTCAATACCACTAAGACTTAAGTTGTGAAGTGCTATAATGTTTAGTGATGTTTAAACATGAATATTGATCTGACTTTAAGGATAATATACTTAAATGAACCTTTTACTTCTTCAAGTTTGATCACATGGTCGCATTAGTTCGTATCCCACAGCTCCTCCATGTTGACCTACGCTGTCTCTGTTTCCTCCTTCAGGTATGATTCAGGTGGGGAAGTGGAACCCCGTCCCGCTGTCGTATGTGACAGATGCACCAGACGCTACAGTGGCTGACATGCTGCAGGACGTCTACCATGTGGTCACGCTTAAGATCCAGCTGCACAGGTAAGACGCAAACACACACACAGAGCTGCCATAAATACATACTTGTGTGTAAGTGCTGGTAGATTTTTTAAAAATTTGACTTATTACCTAAAAAGACAGAGGTATATCTAAGCAGCAACCTCGATTCCTGACAAATCAAGCTGTAGTGTTAAAAACTGCAGTTCCACGAGTGTCCACTTGAGGCTGGCTCCAAAAGCTCTGGAAGCCACACACACATCCATTTAAAACAACACATTTTTAACATATCAAAAAAAAAACATGTTTCCAGTTTGGAATAAAAATAGTTTCATCAGTTTTGAGGATATCGAGGCTGCGAGTTTTGTATTATCATGGACCTGACTGCTTAGACTAGAAAGTCATATGAGGTCATCATCTTTAATATTCAGCTTTATAAACCAATAGGTGATGACACTGAGACTGTTTCAGTGTCTAATACAGCCTTTGAGTAAAACCTCAAACACACACAAATGTGTTTATAATAAAAAAACACTTCCATACATAAAGAGCTTGAGGTTCACCTAATAGACTGCTTTCAACACTTACACACACAGCACGTATTATTTGCCCAGAGGCAGGTGCCAATCTGCAGATGCCCCCTGCATGTTTGATACCAAGAATAGCATTACTCACAAGTAAACACATACACACACACACATAACAAACTGACCTTTCAGAGGAAATGGAAAAACCCATCTGAATTCAGAAAACTTTCTTATCTAATGATGCAGAGGTGATTGGTTTATTTGTCAATTTAAGACGGCCAAACCAGTAATAACAGCCATTTAGCTAGCACTGCAATGACTGACAATGTAGGTGTGCTCTAAGCAGCAGCAGCTCTGCATTGAATAGGTGGAGGATTTTAGCTAATCTGAGTAAAATACTGATATTTTTTCATAGTGATATTAGAGATTGCACAAACGTAATATGATGATAAACAAACCGACTTAAAGTCTCCTCTGAAAATAAAGAACATGTTGGGCAACGGGAGACTGCTCTCAGCTAAAAATGACTCTGCAGCAGATGAATGCGAGGTTGTTCACCTGAAATAGTTCCATAAATAAACCTGGCTGCACCGGCTATTTTAAGTGTAATATATTTCCTCTGGATCTACATCACATACAATAAAAAAGACCCTCTCATACGGAGGGCTGCTGGCTGTCTTGTGCCATCACTCTCCATATTGTATGCTAAATGCTACTCTGTAGGTGTGAGGCTTTGGCGTATTTATACGTACGAGCATTTATAGACATGGACGCCAACAGGCTCGTGTGTGCTCATAGACACACACATCCACACACACACACACACACACACACACAGAGTCGAGTGGAGCTGGTGTGGAGGCTTGTGACAGCTGCTGTTCCTACTCTTCCTCCCTCCTTCTGTGCCCCCCACCACCATCACCACCGCCACCCACCTTCACCAGCCAGAATACAGAAGGTTGTGTTTATTTCCGGCATGCTAGCCCCTGAATGCACAGATAGATGTCTTTCTCCACTTCCCCCTTCCCGTCTCTCCCTCCTTCCCTCCTCTTGTTCACTTCCGTCTCCCCAGAGGCTTTCTAGCTGCTGGAGCAGTTTAAGGTGTTCTGGAAAATCCATTGTTTGCGTGTGAGTGTGTTTTCTTACAAGCAGATGTTAGCCTCGACCGTTGCACGCATCCTTTCTCTACTCCTCTCTCCTGTTATCTCCTCGCTCGTAACATTCGCAACACACAGACTGACGGATTTATGGGCACACACACATTGTCTCTCATGCTCTTGTACACCCATCACCGCTCACTCAATCTTTCATTTCCCTCACTTGTCAAGTGTCAAGGCAGATTTAAGGAAAAGTAATTCAGCCGTTTGTAAAAAGCTAACATGCCAAACATATGTTTTACACACATGAAGTGTTCATCCAGAGCCAACTGGGCGCTCTCACCGGTGCTCAGCTTTAGTTACTCCACACTCCCACCCACCATGTAGATATATTCCTCATTTTTAGAACCCAGAAATGTTTGTCAGGTAGAGCTGAATCCCTGCGGCACACAGTTGTAGCACCAGCTAACGTCAAAGCCAATTTATTTGATATACTGTATACATCTGCTTGGTTTTGCTGCATATTGTTGTCAGAATTGTTATTGTTTTGTATTTGTTTTTCCTCTGTTTTTTCCCTCCCCCATCCCTCCATGCACTCCCCCCTTCACCCGGACGACAGCAGAAATCTAGCCAGTAACACCTTAAATTGTTTCGCCGAGCACAACGAGCCAGGAAGGTAGAAGTAACACGAAATAATAGTCGCCACATGCAGCTGATGTATAATTCATGCATCAATCCAGCAGATGTGTTGTATAAAGTAATTAACTAATCAGAACAATCAGGAGAGAGAGAGGGAGAGAGAGATAGAGAGAGAGAGAGGGAGAATATGAAAGAGGGAGAGAGAGAGAGAGAGAGGGAGGGAGGCAGAGAGAGAGAGAGAGACAGAGCAATCTCCAGATGCATCTGCTTGATGCGCCAAATGAAATCTGTCTGTCTTGGAGGGGCGCTTGCAGCAGGGAAAAAAGAACGCGAGCCCGTGTGTGTTCAGCTCTCTTTCTCTCTGGTTCCCTCGCTCTGTCTCCACCACTCTGTCTATCTGATTGTTCCAGTGATTCGGCCAATTCATCAATACATATTTTAAACAGGCTTGGACTAATGCTACAATCTGTGATGTGGGCGAAGTAATTTGTTCCCAATTTTCAAGAGAACGCCTGAGTAGTGCTAAAACAATAAGTGATTGACAAGATACATTTCAAAAAAACGTGACCATCTATTAGGACTCTGCTGCTTTTTGGTTATTTCTTAATTCGTCTTTTATTTAATATCTGTTTGGTCAGAATAAAGAAGCAGTCACATGATGTCATTTTAGTCTTGTAAGTATTTATCTTTTCCTGTTGTCTGACAGAGATTTAGTTTATAACCTTACAGATGATTTGCTCTTGATGCTCTTTCATGAGGCAGCCTGACATGAGATTTTTGGGATGGATGGCTGTGCTGAATTTAGGGACAAAAAGTACTGAATTAGAGATTAAAATAAGTTTGGATCACTGACTACACAGCTGCAATGCTCTGTTACGTGTGCCGCACACAGCAAAAGGGATTGTTGTAATTGGGCTGTCAGTGTCAACGTGTAATTCTCCGTGCGATTAAGGCCCTATATAAAATGGTAATTTCTTTTAATCACATGCATTTTGGTCTGTTTTGGCACACGCCAGGAGAGCTGGGTACCGTTTCAGTTTTATAGATTCCAATTTTGGTTCCCGTTTTTGGCGACGGTTTGGCTGATCGATCCCATGTTCTTAACGGTTCCTGATTCTGATTTCATTGTTTTTAGAGATTGAGGAGATAATGAATATTAAAAGAAAAATTAGCCTGCTGTTATCGTGGAAACATCTAGGCTCTCAAAAGGGAAACATCAACTGTGACAGGGATTTTTTTTTTTCTTTTTTCCTTCATTTATACAAAGAAACATCACTTGTTCTTAAAAGGATAGTTCAGCACCAACAATTCAAACAAATTATAGAAAAATGTTGAATTTCTACATTTCATACATACTGGATTTTGCTCGCCTCGATGCATGACTCAGCAGTAGGAAGAGGCGTAACCCCAGCACAGTGTCACTCCTCCACTTTCCCCTTGAACTCGGTTTTTGCACTACATGGTCTCCTCGTGATAACCACAGGGGTAGAAAGAGACCTTCTAAATTTGATTGATTGATTTATGTCTGGGTGCGAGAAGACGGTAGCTGCTGCCGCCAGCTGTGGCTCAGTGTTCGACTGCAGATCATCAAATTCAGACCATGTTGAAGGAAACGCTCGGCCATTTTGGGCGAGCTTCCTTTGCAGTACGTGTTTCACTTCATCTTAATCCATTTTAGTCTTTTTCATGGAGCTCAGTCAAACTTTTGATCGATTTGTGTGGTCCGCAATGATCCTCTGCTCACAACTTTGTTGACGTACCGCAACACAGATGATGTAATATTTCGTCAGGACAGCAGGTCCTGGCAGATAATTTCAAAATTCTCACTGAGGTTTAATCCTGAAAGATTTAGGAACCCAAACCAAATCTCATGACCTTTGTCAACACATCTAGCTGCCACGTATGAGCTAAGCATGCAGGTGCAGCTGATCAGACTAACATGAGCATCACAAAAAGTGTCTCACAGATCTGTAAATGTAGAAGTTAAATCGGAGAAGTAAACCACAGAGCCTACATGCAGTCCAACATGAGATTTATCTAAATGAAAATGTCTAAACTCCGTCTTCGACCTGTTTATCACCATTTTCCATTAATTTAGTCCCAGATTGATTCAGATGAAAGGTGTTGGGTAAAGAAGTGTCACAGTCAGGGTGCTGCAGGAGAACTTTCCCATCTGTGGGTGAAAATGTATTACCAGATCTACAGATTGGTGTTATTACTCCTTTGCTCCATATATCTAGGAACTGTCTGACCCTAACACCAAGATGAAATAATGTTGATATTGTGCTGCTGAATTTGTAGCTTGTGTGTTTTATCATTTCACTGAAGATACCATCAGGGCTGCCGGCTTCCCTTTCTACCTCTGCCTCCTCTCCATCTGAATTGTTTCTCATGCTCTCCTCCTCTCTCCCTCTACATCCCTATCTCTCCCCTCCTTCCCCTCCCTATCTTATCTTTCCTTTTTGTCCCCCTCCACCCCCCACTCCTCTTGTATGTCTCCTCTCTTTTTCTCTCTCCACAGTTGTCCTAAGCTGGAGGACCTGCCGCCCGAGCAATGGAGCCACTCTACAGTAAGAAACGCCCTCAAGGAGTTACTCAAAGACATGAATCAGAGCTCTCTGGCTAAAGAATGTCCCTTATCACAGGTGCTGAAGCCCAGTCTCCTTATTCCAAAAAAATAAAATTCAAAATGAAAACGATTAGCGCCTAATCCCTCCTCCTCTTGCTACCAAACAAATACCCCTATCTCCATCACCTCTGTCGTTTATCCTTTACTTATCAAATGCCCTGAGTTTGATCAAGTGGGAAAGAAAATCCAAATCTATAGCTATTGTCGTGTGTTTGCTGCATGTTTTTTTTTCTTTCACAGCCCCAAATGCACACACACCTACACACACACACCTACACACACACACACACTGTGGGCAGTAGCAGCCAAAAAGCAGAGGTGTTGTTGAACGTATGGTTATTGTTAGATAAACATTGGCTGAAACCCAGAACGATCGGGATTGTTTTTGTTCCTTTTCCTCTCATTTAGTTAATTCTCAACATTTCAGAGCATCAGGACCGAAGAGCCAAACACGTTAGGTGTTACATTCTGTTTTTTTTTTTTCCTTTGTCGGCTGGGAGGTTTGGAAAGAAAGCGCCAGTGCAGATATTGTATTAACAGGCAGTGTAGTCAGTATATCATGGAGGCAGCTCTGGAGTGAATGGAATGAAACGGCAGTATATCTCTCACAGGGGCCAATAATGTGTGAGTGTGAGGAAATATGTATGTGTGTATTCGCATGAGTACATTTCTGAAATGTATATCAGCGTGCGGCGTGAATATATGTGAAAGCGTTATTTGTGTTTTTTTCGTGCGATGTGTGTTTGAAACCAAAAGTGTGCGTAGGTGCCTTCGGTGTGAAGCCAGCACTCCTCCTAGGCCACCGTATGGTCACCTGGAGACCCTCATTTGCGCTCTGCTGTGTGCATGTGCGTTTGTGTGTGTGAGCCGCTCCTCTCAGTGTGTGTGTTTGTGTGTTTAGCCGGGCATGAGCAGTGCGCTGATGATGTAAAGAGTCCCTGGGTGGCGTTCAGGCGGAGCCCAGCCCGGTCTGGTAATCACCCTGTTTACGGTCCATATGTGAAGACGGCTCAGAGGAGAGCACACACGAGCTCAGAGGATCTAACACACACACACACATGCAGACACACACTCTTTCTCAGACACAGATTTGCTATTTTCACATACACACACGAGTCTCAAATTAAACTGGAGATTGTTTTAGCTTTCCAGTGAGAATGAAAGAAGGTTCTGAAAATATCTTTAACTGAAGCTGCTGCTTTCTCTCTCGCATGTATTCAATAATTCAGAATCAGTCAGAAGTCCCAATCTTGAATCAATCAATCATGCAGAAAAGCTGATAGACTCTCGGTTACTTCAGCCACTGCTAATGTCATTTTTTCTCAGTATTCAGTGTGTCAGAAGTCTGTTTCTCTTCTCACTGTTTACCACAAGTTTAAACATCATAAAAAGATTTAAAGACAGTATGTAGAGTTCAGTTCAGTGTTCAGACCACATGACTTTGAGCCAAATTTTAGTGTTAATTTATAAAAAGTTAATTTGAATCGTTACTAACTGATTTCATAACTACATAATTGTGTTTTTAATTGTCATTACCATCTTTTAATGCAGTTTTTTTAAAGTATTGGAATTCAATTTAAACATAAACTGGCTGCTTTGATTTGTTTCTACCGAATAACGTGTCCAACAAAGATGTTGTGTTTTAATATCTTAATTCTTATTATTTAATGCCTGAAATGGCAGTCATATGTGCTGTCTAATTTACCTTAATCACCCACTACTTTGCTCGGACTGTGGCTGCTGTTATTCATGAATACCACTGTGCTGTATCGCTGCACTACCTGGATGTAAACAAGCACAGAGAAGCGAAGGTGTCTCATAGTGTGGTAAGGTTTAGCAGCATTTTATGGAGATTGTTGTGGTTAATTCAACACAGCCTATAATGTGTAACAAGCACAGTCATGTGGAGTTTAAAGTGAAGTTTGATGGTGCTAGCTCTGCTAATGTTAGCCATAAGCAGCGTATCGTTTTGACATGTTTCCCCCTCAGAATCTGTGATCCCATGACGAGCCGTGTAGAATGAATGACTTTAGTCTGGGTTCTCGTGTTACTGTTTGACTGGTTGGTTAGTCAGAATTCAAATTTGTCTTTAAATGACTGTAAAGTTGGTGGCTTTTGTACATCCCCGCCTCAGGCACAGCTTGTACTACGATGTGTCTCGCAGGTTTCATTTTCATAATCCGTGTCACTGAATCACTGGCTGGACAGCGTGCTTATTTCTTATTTCTTAAGAGACGATCTTTGCTGAACATTTTGACTCGGTGTCTTCAGTGCTCCCCTCTGGTTGTCATCGGCCAGTCTGAGCCAGAACTCTGCGGTGTTTCTGGGAGAACCTTGGTCGTCTCACTGCTGTCAGTTGCATCCTTGCCGAGCAGTCAGAGTCGGGTTTTTGGCATCCTTACTTTAGAAGAAAGCCTGAATTCCTTCCACCCTCATCTTCCTCTCAAAAGTCATGAACCAAACCGCCTCTTGAATAATCTAAGGAGCTGACAGTCCATCTTTATTAAACTGACCCTTGCTTTCCTTCGTGTATCTTGTCTTCTTCAAACATGGCTGCCATGGCGGTGTTTGACATCTGTTACTCTGCGGGGTTTAATGTGGCCTGCTACACCCGTCGAGCGACAGTTTGTTCCTCAAAGACCCAAGTGGTGTAGCAGGCTGGTTGTGACGTTGGAGAGCTGTTCCCACGTTGCCTCGATACACGGACTCCCCGCCTTGTGACGGGTGATGTCACCGCCTGTGTGTAGTGTGACGAGAAGGTGAAAAGCCAGAGAAGCATGTCGCCAAACCCTCTTAGCTTTCTTAGTTGACCAAAAAAAGTAGAGGGAGTAGGAGGGGAAGGGGCGTTGTAGAAGTCAGAAGAAGATTGGCACCTTTTCAGGATTAGTGTTTTCTCGAATTTCTGCTGCGTAATCCCAGACCGCAAAGAGAGGTTAACAGATGAGAGAACCAGAGCGAGAGAGTGAAAGAGAATTAGCTCACCTCTGAACAGAGCTCTGAAGAGAGACGGGGAGGAGGGGTCAGTGGAGCAGGGAAGGGGAGGGCGGCGGGGGGTTATTTTGTGAGACGCAGCTTTTGTGCGGGACCTTGTCAAACATTTAGTTTCATTCTTTTGTAGCGGGGAGTCATGCTTTGTGTGTTTGGCCTACAAATGGCACGAGGAAACTCAGAGAGGGAAAATGAATTCACTCATGCCCATTGTCACTCTGCCGGGGGAGCAGACTCAGAGCCGCGCTCATGTGAAGCTAGCTTAAACATTCACAGCTTGGAGACGCAACCGGCAAAAATCAGCTGCCCCTGATTCTGCCTCCACCAGGACCTCAGGTTTATCTTTTTTTCTGAGGTTGCTACCAAGCTCATCAACCCCCTTGCCTATATTCCTAGAAACTATGGCAACAAACGAGGGCCCCCATCACCCCAGTCGTCCTCATCACCACCACCTCTTCTTGCCCACCCCCCGCTCACTCTCGCTGGGCGGCCCCTGATGCACCAGCTGCTGTGTTGCGTAGCAGCAAATAGTCATCAAAATGCCATCTTTGCAGGTCTTCACCACCTCTGCTGCCATAGGCCCAACGTGGCTGCCAGTTTGTGTGTGTGTGTGTCTGCACGTGTGTTTGATATGCACTTGTGTGTGTGTGTTGAAGAGGAGGGGGAGGGGGTCACCCGGTTGAGGTGGGCATGTGCCATAATTGAGCTGTGTTAGATGTTGGCGAGAGACAAGGCACAGTGTTGCAAATGGGATGCGCCTTTTCCCCAGCTGATTCAAGACATCAGGCTAAGTTGGATTGTGTGTGTATGTGTGTGTGTGCATATTTAATTGTGCATGTGTGTGTTTGTGTACCTGCACCATGTGTGTTTGTCTGCAGGGGTTGTAGTTTTTGTGTGTTTTCATTTGCAAGTGTGTGCACCACTCTCTAATGCTGGCAGCTGGGTGCCTACACTACCTGCTTGCTGCACCGTTATTCTCCTAAACACACACACACACACACACACACTGACAAACACAAACTCACACACTCACTCCCTCCTCTCTCTCTCGCTCTCTCTCTCTTTCCCCTTTCTCTTCCTGTCTGCCGTGATGGGGAGTGGAGTAGATGTTGGGGACCGATAGCAGCCCAGTGCCACTTCCTGGTCTTGCTGATAAGCTCTCTGTGCTGCAGATGGCTATCACTTAAAGGGTCCACACACACATGTTTCTGCACTCACACACACACACACTTAAACACACACACGCAGCCATGCTACCTGTTGACAAGCCCTAGCACAGCCCTCCTGCTGGCACCGCAGTGGCAGCAGAGGCTCTGGTTATCTGCTTGATTTCACTTAGTGCGTCCGCGTGTGTGTGCGACGGAGCAGTGGGAGAGAGTGAGGCGAGGAAAAGGTGTATGTGTGTGTGTGTTGTTTTCTTCACACGTACACGTGGGGCCCCCTGTGAGAGGTAGAGTGATGTATTGAGGGAGAGGGCTGATTAATGAGGAGCGTTTATTAGAACATCTGTGTCAAAGATGGCGGAGAAAGAGGGAGCGAGAGATAGAGAGAAGGAGAGAGAGAGAGAATATGCACTGTCTTCTGCAGGCCTCTTGTTTGTTGCCTGGAGCCGCCTTAGCCCAGATATACTGTAAATAAAAGATGGCAGGCTGGAGGAGAGGAGTTCATTATCCCACAGACTTCCAGGAGAGTCCCTCTCACTTCATATTCCTGGTTTTCAGATGGACCTTCTTCTTCGGTTTGGGTGTTGGCTCTGAAAACCAGGTTAGACTTGAATTTGAGGTTTACTGCCTAAGAAGTTTTCACCCCAACTATTCACTTCTTCCCTTTCTCAATAAGTCCAGATCAAATCTTTTCATTTGGATTCAGCCCATTTTTTGAAAACCTGCTGGGGTAAACAGGACATTATCATTTTCAGACCGTCCAGGATGGTATTGCAGCGACTCTTTCTTAAAGGCGATGCCACATAAATCTGAAAGAATGAGCTGCTTCATACATAAATGTATGACCCATTAGAAAGGAAATTCTGACTTCCTAACCCTAACCTGAACTCTATTAGGCTTTTCATTAAATGAAGGCTTTTCAGCATATCTATAAAAGCCTGCTTTGTTTGACTCTGCAAGTCCCAAGCAGACGTCTTCACCCCCCCTCCGTTATTTTTCATCATGACAAGATGCACTACAGTGCGGTCGTAGCCTTCTGCAGCCTTCAACGTGACTCTAGACTCACTTGCTGACATTTGTCTTTAGTTTTTTTTTTTCTATGCAACTGTACCAAGACTTGGCTTCGAGCTCAGTCGGTGTCTTTGAGAGCTTTAGCTTTTATCAGCTTCAAAGTTTTCTCCTGTAACTTTGAGCTCTTGGAGACTTGTGTCCATTTTACTCCTCGGTGTCCTGCCTTGAACTTGAGTCGATGGTGTGTTCCGGCTGAATACATGTTTTAGAGAGTGGCACACCACTTTGATAGCTTGTAGACAGTTCAGGTTTTGACATATCATCCAGGGATTAACATGAATTGTTCTTACAGCCCTCCTCCTGAGTTCTTGTTACCTTGTCCAGCCTTCGAACTCGAGCACTCGTGTTTAAATACGTCTGCTTAATTAAAAAACTTATAGACAGAAACTCTGAGTAAAAGCCAAGAGTTGTATTTGATACTGCAACTGCATTTTCTTAGATTTCCTGTAGATTACATGTTCTTGGAAAAACAGATTTTGCAGTGTTTTCAAACTGTGATATTGACAAACTAGGAGTAATTAAACCATATAAATGGGGCGAGCTTTAATCTCAGTTTTCACATATAAAGTTAATGTTTTTCTCTTTTGTTATTTGTGACTTAAAGTCTATTTTCCTCGAACAAAACCAAACCTTTCTCATAAATTTATTTACCACACTTGATCGGTCTTTTAAGAAAGAAGGATGTGTTCGAATCTGGGATGTCGATGAGAAGTGTGGTTTAAAAGCTAAACTAAATAAGTGCATATTAGGCGAAACAACTCAGCTTCTTTCGTTTATCTGCCATTTTCTGTATTGCACAATTTCTTCAGAATCAAAGTTACATCCAAACAGCAGTTTGTTATCGCCAAATTATCACCAGTTAATCTGAGGTTAGCTGACAGTTGCCTGAAGTTTCACGTGTCTTCATCAAAGTGGTGGAAACGCTCGGCCGTCATACCCAGGCCGTCATCTAACAGATCAAAAACGCTGAGTCAGAAATCAATGATTTTACAGATTAAACCGTTTCTCATTTGGCTAAAGAAAGATTTTTCTGATGTTTTTGTGGCAAATACTTACATTGTGATATTGATAAATGTATAATCTATCAGATAGCTCAAGTTTTTTGCTTTTGAACACCAATGACACATCTCAAGCAGTTAAAGCAACAACCAGTCCCTGCAGCCGCTTTCCCCGACACTGTTGCTCTCATTTGGTCACCTAAATTGAACACATCCAGTACTCCTCGCTGCGCCCTTAATAAGCCTCCTCCAGCCCCTCAGCCAGACACTAACCCTGACACAGTGAGATTAAACCTGTACAAGAAAGACGAACTGAGCTGAGAGGAAAGAACAGACAACATGAACCATTTCAGCATCAACATCTAGAATGATAAATACTCAGTCTCTCTGGTTATAGCTTCAGTGTAGCAGCTCTCTTTAAGTTGGGTTAAGTTGCCTCCTCTGTAGTCTTTTCTAATGCATTCACATTTGGGCCTTAAAACAGCCAAGAGGAGGACTTTACTGCTCAGAAATATCAGCATTTAGTTGTTTTTCTGCTATCCTCCTTTTGCACAGAAAAGCTGCAGCCAAAGAGCCAGAATGATCCTGAACCAGTTCATTGTGCTCACCCCAGCATTCTGCTGTGCCAGAAGGTTCCCCCACCATCCTCCAAGCGCATATATTATAAAAAATGATAAAGATGGCATACCTGTAATTTGAAAACAGATGGTTTGGTTCTTTTGAATATTTATAACAATCAAAAACAATTTCTCCTGCACCAGCCTCCCTATTCGCCCCGAGGCCGGCAAGGTGTTAAAACATTCATTTTAATGAAACTAGAAGGAGAAAAATATCGCCTTTTTGTTTTTCTGCGGCGAAGGAGGAGGGAGGTTGAAGTGAATGCAGAGAGGGTAGAGAGCTGACTGTAAAAGGGGAGACAGAGAACAACATGCTCAGTGCGGCCCTCGATCTGCTTGAAGTTGTTGTCTTTAACAGATTGTATAAATAAAGAGATGGAGAAGAAAAGAGGTTTATCTGTTTACATCGCACTACTCCCCAGATGCTGATATTCAATAAGGCGCTATCTTCTTTCCTTTTGAAGGTAAATATCCTCCCTGCCGCCTGCTTTTATGTCAACAGACTTAGCACCGAGTTGACTTTGTAATTTACCCACTCTGAAATAAAAAAAAAGAGGTTCAGACAAACTCAGAGGCATTTGATAAAAAAGAACAGACAAAGCCTTGTTTGATTTAATTTGTTCACCTTTTAGAAGAGAAGATCCAAAAATATCTGCATGTCTGATACTTTTCACTTGCCATTTTTAGTGCTGGGTTTTACCGTGTCCCTATCTTTTATTTGTTTTGACAAGCTACAGTGTTACTGCATGTTTCACAAGCTTTAATATTATGTCTGTATATTTTCCACAATGAGAAGCTAAAGTCTCTCTCTCGTCCTCTCTCCCTCTCAATCAATCTCTCTCTTTCAGAGTATGATTTCCTCCATTGTGAACAGCACTTACTATGCAAATGTGTCGGCGGCGAAGTGTCAGGAATTTGGGCGCTGGTATAAACATTTCAAGAAGACAAAAGATATGATGGGTAAGCAAAACGGAGGGGCGCAAAGTATGGCGCTCACACTTTTGTCTCTCTCCACACACACATTCACGCACATGCACACACCAGTCGCCATCACAATATGTTCCCTAACCAACCATCTCTTTGTCTTCCTGCCATTGCATGAAGCAGAAATACATTTTTATCTTGTTATCTAATAACTCAAGATTACTCCACTCTGTTCCGCAGAACACAGTGTTATCTTTGATTTATCTATTATTGCGTAAACTACAGCTAATGCCGGAGCCAAATAGAGGGTTCTGATTGTTTTTATTTTTGTTTGTGAGCTTTAGTACCCCGCGAACAAAAGGCAACGATGACTTCAGCCAGCCACCGCCTAGTCTGAAATTCAATTAGATTTTCTTATCAACTCTCTAACAACGCATGCTTTATATTATCTGTAAAAAATCCCCTTTTGACCCACCAGGAAATGAGGTTATATGATACTAGTAGCACCCTAGCTGGAGAGAGAATTCCAGTATATTTTTATGTCTTTTGATTAAGTGGAGCTGCACTCTGTTGCAGGGCTCATAAGGCAGTGTAATGTTGAGATATTAGCTTTAACAATCTGTTGAACAATCTTTTTTCTTTGCCAGTGTGCCACTGCTCGCCGCGATGACAGATGAGATATTATATCAAAATGTTTTCACTGCCTCCATGCAAATAGCGTGTTGTGATCATATCTTATCTGATGTTTTTTTCTCCTTCTTCTGTTTAAGAGTAAAAGTGTCTGCTAACATACGCTGGGAACATTACTTACTCCAGACCTGCTGTACTTGTGTATTATCCTGCATACTCCTACACATTCTCTGTCATAATTGTTTTCGATCTGGTCTTTTTTTTTTTTTTCCTCCTCTGAAATGGGGCTGCTGCAGCTGCCAGTGCGGCCTCAGTGATGCTGGTGCTTTAAATGTCATATTTCTGCTTAGCTGCAGAGGGAGAGGAGGAATGTAAAAGGCTTTAACCCTGTGTTTCTTTCTTCACAACTCCACACTGTGTGCTGTATGTGTGTGCGTGTGTTTGTGTGTGTGTGCGTGTGTTTGTGTGTGCATGTGCGTGCCCTACCATCCGACTGTGCAGGCATGCGCCAACCCTCCCAGCTGGAGGGCTACCTGGGGACATGTGTCCTCCGTGAGAGTCCGCGTGCCAATGCACTAGGTATGTTGCAACATGGGCACACACACAAACACACACATATGCACACACACAAACACACCTTTGATTTGTTTTCACTTTGAGGGGTTTGACATCGATAAACAAACTGTTTTAAGACTAACCATCACCTCAAACAGAGCACTGTGTCGTTTTAAAGAGGTGCATCAGGTCCGTCCTTTCAAAATAAAAGCATACGTACCATTTGATGAGAAAATGACGCCATACCCAACTATACAATGTAGTGTAATACAATACGACATGACGTGATATACAATATAAATCATGATACAATAAAATGTGATGCGATTTGATGATACACAATATGATGCAGTGTGATACAATACAATACCATAAAACAGGAAATGATGCAAAACAGTATAAAAAAAATAGGACATGAGAAAATATGATGCAAAATGAATCATTGCAATAGGATTCAATTCGAGAGGGTAAAGTGATATGATGCAGTGTGTTGAATTGATTTGATACACTTCACGATACGATAAAACACAACGCATTATGGCACGATACAATATAACACGATACGATGTAGTACGATACAATACAACAAGTAACAGCAGGATACAAAATAATACAGTACGATAATATGATACAATATAAGGCGAAGCTGTATAATATACTACAATAAAATACGAGACAACAAATTACAGCGGGATACAAAATAATAGAGTTGGATAATACGATATAATATAACAGGATATGATACAATACAACAAGTTACGGCAGGATACAAAATAATACAGTAGGATAGTACGATATGATGTAAAATGATACAATATAATACGATACAATATGACATGATACGATGTAATATGATACAATACAAAAAGTTACAGAAGAATACAAAAAAATACAGTACAATAATATAATATAACAGGATACAATACTGTTTGATACAACAAGTTACAGCAGGATACAAAATAATACAGTAGGATGCGATATGATAATATGTTTCAACAAGTTACGGCAGGATACAGATACAATAGGTTCATGTGTCTTGGATTCATGTCCCGCATACTTTTAACCGTCTAAACAAACATGTGACTCAAAGTTAAACAGCTCTTTCACACCATTTCTTTTTGTCACACTTATCAAATAAAACGCTCCACGACAGATTTTCTAAGTAGCAGTTGTAAATACTTGTACTAATACTTTAATCAATTTAGTCAAATTAGTGCATAACTGTCAGGAAGAACACAAGCGAGATCTTTGTTTTGCTGTTCATGAGTTTTTATGACATTTTTGCCAAAAAAGTTTGCATGTATGTTAGACCTTTAACTAGAGCTGCCGTACATTTATCTTGATTGTTCCTGGAGCTCTTGCCCAATCATAAAGCCAATGTGATAAAAACAAAAAAAACACTGAGTGCTGTGTGAACAAGAATTGATCGCTTTGGGGCAAAACTAGATAAACACACACACTTAATCTTAGTCTTGAGGAGCTACACTCCCTCCCTGATATCTAACCTTAATATTAAATGCGGCTCTTGCCTGAACTGAATCTTAATCAAAATTTGATCCTGATAAAAAAATCAAACAGCTCTTTAAAGTCCAATTGAAATGCAGCATGACTTATTTTACTTTGCTGGCCGTGCTTTCAGTTTGAGACAAGCCCCTCCATTGCATTTTAACACGCAGCCTTACTTTTAAAATGTCATCATAGTCGCATCTTTTCCAAACCAGTTAGCTTTAAAAACGAAGGCAGCTTTAGCCAATCAGTGAACAGTGTTCTCCGTTTCTCTCTGAGCACCACAAACCCAGATAAGAACAAAACCACCAATGTACGTCCACAGCAGTAGCGATAGCATCTGAAGATGTGCTGACACACGAACTCTTGCCCAAATGTGTCACGTAAACCAAACCTCTGACACAAAACGCTGGCACACAGGCCTCAGGTGCCCCACCACGCGCCCGCAGAAACTCCCTCAGCCTCAATATTCATGACGAGCTGCAGCCTGCTGCCTTGGACACAGAAGTTTGAAGGCTGGAAGAGAGAGTGGCACAGTCATCCCTTTGTGCTTTGTGCTTTGGCTGCAGTGTCAAATGTGACTCTGCATTTACTTCACCACACTGCGTTTAAGCCTGAAGTCAAGGGGAGTAAGTACCTGGTCACAGGTACTGGCAAGCCACCGCGCCGCTCTGCCAGCTGAAGTGGTATTAGCGGCCGCCGGCGAATGTGGTGTCTCCTCTTTTTGACGTGGCAGCGTTAGAGCAGGGAAGCCAACGCGGGAGAGAGAGTTGGGTCACTTTGTACGTCTCCCTCTCTCTCTCTCTCTCTCACTCGCAGTCACAGTCACACACACACACTCCCTCCCTCCCTCAGCCCACATCCCATTCCCATTGTGTGTTTAATCCGGGGCTCTTTTGTGGCAGGATTCCACACGAGGACTCCCGCTTCTGTGGCAGCCTTTTTCTCCCAGGGCCTGCCATGCTCTTCTGTCACCCCTTCTCTTTTCAATTTGCATGGAAATGCCTCCGTGTGCCTGTGTGTTTGTGTGTTGTGAGCATGCCCCCCAGCAGTCTGTGCGAACAAGCATATGCGCACACACACACTCACACACTCACACACATTCACATCCATATATAAGTGAATAGACACGCCATACCATCAGAGCCAGGGAATGCCAGGGATTATAGGAAGAGATGTGATTATTACTAAGATTTTTTTGTTTTGTTTTTCCCCCCACATCATTTGTTTTCGATAAACGCTCAATAGACCCGTCTTGGCCGGGTGTTTTGTGCTCGCTGACAGTTAAGAAACAGGCGGCTCAAACGCACGATTATTGTGTGTATTTTTGGAAAACATCCATGCACTTAATCTTTCATCTGCTGAAAAATTCAGCTTGTTGAAGACCCTCACCCCCTCCTTTTCCCCATAACAGCAATTTACTCTTTTCACAATGTCGTTCTGCAGGATGTGTGTGGAGGCCGCAGCACACTTCTGAGGTGTTAATGTTGCCATCCGTATGAATTCTTAAACGCTGCCCCCTCACTCTCTCGCTTGGCGCCGTGCACGCAGAAAGCCTCAGCATATGTAATATTCCTTAAAGAGAGGCGGAAACCTGCAACATTCAGCCGCTCTGAATGCTCGTTCACTGCTCTGTGGGTAGCACTTTGAATAGTAAATCATTGTTTTAGCCTCTAAGCAGATAATTTAAACCTGCCTTAAAATATTCTCTAGCAACCATTATGGACTTAAAGATTCCCAAAGCAGAAGATGCCACAAAGTGCTATTAAATGACAGCTCATAGAGTGATTTTTTTCTATTGCACGGTCTTTTTAGTACAACTTTACAAGGGCGTTCCTCAGGTTACAAAATATATCCTCGGATTTACTCCCTCTGTCACTGTTCACTGCTCCCTACATTTATCTTCAGACCTTCCTCACCTAAAATTGCCATAATAGCTAGCTTGTGTTCCTTATTTCAGAATTAAGGATGTAAAGAGAGAATCAGATTTCTTCACATTGCTGCTGCTGCTGCTTCTGTGGACACACACACACACACACACGCATACTGTACCTACGCACACAAACGCACGCACACTCACACACGCTCCACTGTCTCTCAGGGATTTATTTTTCACATGATGAGGCCGCAGACGTTCTGAACTTAATTTTGAAGGCATGGGTTGTGGAAGACACAGGTCAAACACAATGAGGCTCTTTTATCTGCGTTTCCATCTTTTTCTTTTTTTAACCAGTCGTTGGCAGATCAGCTGTTTCATATCCAATCAGGGAGGAAGAGGCCTGTAAGGGGGAAAAAACACTGAACCTCTGTATCTGTCTATTAGTGGTTTGGATGGGGCTGCAGTATTTTCCTCCCCTCACATATGTCACCAGCATAAAGGGGAACGTTAGCTGACAGCTGGAGGCTGAAGTTTGATCTGAAGCAGAGAGGTTCTGTTTCGTTTCCCCTGATAAAAGATTGAAGCTCTGATGACATTAAACTGATGATTATGGTTTGAGATTTAGGTTCAGCTTTGCAGATTCTCCTCTCTTCTGGATTTAAACTGACGTTCTGACCTCCTCCTGTCTCTGCTTTGTCTTCTTGCAGCAGAGATGGATGGCCTGTCCGACCTCTCTCCACCCGGCTCCAACCACAACCACAACCACAACCACCTGGGCTTCTCCCAGCAGCAGCAGCCCATCCCCGGCAGCACAGCAGAGCAGACCCCTTCCTCGCCCGTGCCCCCGCTGTCTCACGCGCCTCCGCCACACGGAGGCCAGACCGGCGGCCGGCAGCCCCAGCTCCCCGGCCTACACCACCCGGGCCTGGTGTCCACGCCCATCAGTCCCCAGCTGGTCAACCAGCAGCTCGTGATGGCACAGATCCTAAACCAGCAGTACGCGGTGAACCGGCTGCTGGCGCAGCAGTCCCTGTCGCAGCAGTACCTCAACCACCCGCCTGTCAGCCGCAACTCCCACAACAAGCCCATGGAGCCGCAGGTGGCGTCCAACACAGAGGTGTCATCGGAGATCTACCAGTGGGTGAGGGACGAGCTGAAGAGAGCCGGAATCTCACAGGCGGTCTTTGCTCGCGTGGCCTTCAACAGAACCCAGGTGAGAGGGGAGACGGACGGGTCAGAGTACCAGGTCCAGTTCTATAAGGTGTTTTTACCTTATCAGGTTTTAACCGACTACTTTAGAATTTAATAGTTCTGCAGGAAATACGTGTTAACCTCCGTGAATGACGTGAAGTTAAACTTTCTGATCATATTTGATAAATGCAGAAATAAGTTAATTTTGCTCATTGGACAACCCTCTCAGCATCACAACATCTTTATCCCGTTTATTTGTGGTTCTGTTAGACCTTCCCCAAAACACGATACTCTTAAAGAAGAACTCAAATTATTATAATCATTAAATTCAGAGGATTCATTTTCAGCCCACCAGCATCTAAGATATACCGGAGCGAAAACCTCTTCAAGACCGCTGACTGGTCGTTGAAATTGAAATAATTTGGAAAGCATCCAGGATTTGCTTCATCATCCAAGGTTGATTAAACAATGTTTATTTTTTTTTGTTTAGTTTGAGTTTAATTTCATTTTCTCTCCTCAATTTTACTGCCCAGTCTGACTCATATTAACAGTGTCATAAAACTTTTGGTGCACAAACACTATCTCTGAAAAGAACTCACATAAAAAAAGCACTACAAGTTCTCAGAACACTCTGTGTCTCTGAAAATTGGCATATAACAGCAGCATTAAAGTTAGCTCTGCATAAAAACACCTATTAATCAAAATGTCATCTTAATTTTTGAACATCTCTATCTGACTTTAAACGGTAATATCCCGAATGAAAAGAAGTTTTTCAACATTTCCACACAGCTCCTGTAGAGAAACAAACTCTCAGCCTGCAGTCTGAACGTGTTTCCGTCCTCCGATCGTTCCTCATTCATAATTCTCTCTCCAGTAACGCAGCACCTCTACTGTACTTCAAGACAGCTGGCAGCCTGCCATGTGAGAGACCCGGGCTCGGTCATCGCGTGCGTTCTCTCTCCCTGCCAAAATATGTGGTTTCACTTCATAGTCAGAGGCCTCACACTCACACTCACACACACAGATATATACGCACACACACAAATGCGCTGCTGTCACACACAAACAGAAGGCAGTGGAAATGTTTTAAGATGAAGCGTCTGTATTAAAGAGGAGTGGAGGGAGGTGACAGCAAACCTCATTACGAATCCATTTGCTTTGAAGTCTCTGTGTGTGAAAGAGGAAAAAGGACTGAAACTGATAGAGATCTATTAGAATCAGAACATACAACAACCCCCCTCCTCTGGAAAATAGATGTGTGTGTATGTGAGTGAGTGTGTTTCTGTGCAGATTGGTGAACTCCCACACAAACACAGTCTTATCTGAAGCTGATATGAGGAATTAGCTCAATGTGCCGTTGGAGAGTTTGCCTTTGGAGGATTATTTATTAGGCGCGTGCTTCTTCCTCGAGTCTGTGTTAATAAAAAGAGAGCAGGGGGGAGAAAGGAGGTGTTGAGAAGTGACATGAGGGGCTTTTGTCGGCGCAGGAAGCTTGTTTTGTCCTCTTTGAGAGGAAACTGATTGACCTGAGAGATAGACAAAAAGGTCCGATGGCAGAGAATGATGCATTCACTGAAGAATGCAGACACCGACAGACAGACAGTGAAAACAGAAATGCCACTAATCTATCCCCTGAATACTTGTGTGTGTATTAAGCACGCCGTCCCCTTCTCCATAAAAACCTCACTCTGACTCAGATTTCACTTGTTCACACTTGCCTGGGAGCCACAATCATACCTTTTTCAACAGAACACATATGTCTGTGTACATTTTAATGGCCAAGCAGTCAACGCTGAGAACATATCTGCAGCCCTGCTCGCCGCTCAAAGCACCATGCTCTGAAAAAAACAGAAATAAATAAAAGTAATAGCACAAGCATGTTTTCCCCATCACCTACTTTTATTACCAAATCACACCTATTGATGGGGAGAGAAGCGAAGAGATGGTTCGCTCAGTGTGTGGCCAAGAGCTGATGAAAAGGCCCAATCACACGTCTCTGATAATGGAGTCATCGCCGTTTCATAATGATGGAATTGAGCGCCATTGAAAGTAAACAGAGGATACGCTGATTGCCCGCTGTAGAAGATTTCATATTTGAGGCGAGTGGCTGCGGCTCTTTTCCAGAACAACACAAGGCTGGGAGAAAATGTCCAAAACCTGCAGATTTATACGACTGATCCAAAGTTTTAGACGAGTCCGTGGTCGTTGTTTTTGACCCGTTTCCTCTCCTTTACCCTTCCCTCTTTGGCTTCTCCCTCCCCTCACCTGTTAACGCAGGGCCTGCTGTCCGAGATTCTGCGCAAAGAGGAAGATCCTAAAACAGCGTCCCAGTCGCTGCTGGTCAATTTGCGCGCCATGCAGAACTTCCTGCAGCTCCCAGAGGCCGAACGCGATCGCATCTATCAGGAGGAGAGGGAGCGGAGCCTGACGGCGGCTTCAGCGATGGGCGCCGCTCCTCTCATCAGCACTCCACCCAGCCGACCTGTACAGGTACCTGAGACTGAATTCCTCTGATCACGCTAATTCTGTGTTTGTGTTTGTGTTTGCTACCCAGATATTTTGTAACTTGACTGGTTAACAGGAGCTTTGAAAACATTCAGAAACAGAGCAGATTGTCAATCTCAGGGAATGGAGGTCGCAAGATCATTTGTAGGGGTCATCAGATGTTTGAGACAAATAAAACTAAAATTTAAAGATTTCAAAAACAATAAAGATTTAAAGTTAAATAACTTAAATTTGACTGGATAATAGTTTTGACACCACTTGGCCTGTTGCACCAATGAAGCTTGTTTTAGTGCTTTTCTTAGGTGGCAGCATGTTAGCTGTGTGACTGCTGCAGGTGATAACTCCGGCTTACACTGTGATGGCATTCATGCATAGACTGAGGGGGCGGGGTCACAAACATGTATGACATTGCTCTCTGAAGTCCTAGCCCAAAAATGTAAGACTCACTGTTCTAGATACATGTATTTTATGAATTGCAATAATGCACAATCAGTTTCTGCAAAACTACATACCATGACTTATCACATGAGCAGTTTGTCAGAAACCTTACCTGTGCAGCAGCGAATCTTTCCCTCTGCTCCTCTCTCAGAGTGTTAATGAGACAAATTTACCTTTTAGAGCTGCGACAGATAGAACTGCGCCAAAAAAATACAAGATTCTGTCTCAGAATTGGTAAAAGTGCAGTCACAGCTGAAAAAGCATGCAACACAAGAACAATGCTGTAATTATTCAGTCATCATGAACTTCGTGAGTCAACAGATCTGGTTGTTCGAACTATTTTTGTCCCATTTAAAGGAGCTAGTCTGTGGATTTGTTTACAGCTGAGATCAGGTATCCAGGCGTGGGAGCAGGTTGAGGTGTTTCTCAGACGCTGGAACTTTTGTTTGTCTGTGTCTGTGGTGGTGTGATGGCCTGAATCCAAACACATGTGTAACAAACCCATAAGTGCTCCACTCTCACCTAAACCCAACCCCACTCTGCTGTCCTACACTTCATTCTTCTTCCTGACAGCTTGTGAACATTTTGTTTCGTGGGTTCGTCGCTCCACAGCTTTAGCACGTACAAACCAAACGTAATGCATCGACTAGTACATTGTGTTTACATGTGACAACAGCGAGCATGCACACATGCACGCACCACCCTGGCACATTGTTAAGATTCACACCTCACATTCCCCTCCGCTGACTCAGGCTACAACCTGTCGGGAAACATGAGGAACAATAAAGGCCCATTTGTCCGGACAGCACGCTCGATCGAAATAGTTTACATTCTCCGTGCATGTAAATCAGCTCCACATCACCCCCGCCCTCAGCACACAGGTGAAAGTAGAGCACACAGATGACAGATCATTTTTTGTGCTAATTTTGACCTTTCACTGCGTGTTCAGAAGCATTAAAAGCCCTCTCTCTTTTTTTTCAAATAAAGCTCAGAGAAACATCAGACATCTTTTAGACCGTCCCCTTTCAAAATCTTTTTTGCACCAAAGCACAACTTTCCACCCTCACAGCAAATCACTGTCTCTCATCTGAAAGGTATGTGGCAACTTTCTACCACTTAAGCCCATTTGAAGTGCGGTCAGCTGCATCTGGGAGGTGAGAGGTGGTGGACAAAGCCCCCTCTGTCCTGTCTTCTGTGGCGACGCGGCTTTTAAGTAGGTGATGAGCAAAGACAGAAAGAACAGGCCCACCCATCTCCAAAAGAAAGCCTGCCACTGGGATTACTCAGCAGGATGGCAGTCACTGTCTCTCAAAAAAAAAAACTGAAAAGAAAGAGTGGTTTTCTGAGGCAGCGGTGCTGGACAGAGGCAGGGCCACTTTGCAGTTGACAGCTCGTCTTTACAATGAAAGGCTGGGACAGTAGAGGACAGAGGTAAAGAGAGGACTTCAGCACAAGAATCAAAACTGAACTAAAATGTGTTTGGCTCCAAACTTCCTGTTATTCTAAATGAAAATCCCAGAAGCAGAGATAGAGAATCATAAGTCTAAGTTTTAAAAATGTCTGTAATTACATCAGGTGAATTACAGATCACTGATGTACTTACAGAACTAATGTGTAGAGGGCTGTTTAGAGTATCAGAGACCGGCTTACAGAGCTGTGCAGATTGATAACAGAGCAGGTATACATTTGCAAGCTGAACAGTAAACACAATGACTTCCACACTGCATACAAGCTGTAAAGATTTCAAATATGAGCAGAAACGGAGAGGCTCTCATTTGTAGTTTTTATTTGCATATCACTCAGAACACTGTTGGTACATCAGGAGAATATATAGCTTCCTAATACACTTCACCTGTATGACTTAAACACATTGACATTTATCATATAGACCTGTTCTTACACAAGGCAATTCACTCACCCACAAACACACTCATACACCTGGCCATCTGCCAGCCTCTCCTATGGAGCAATGCGGTGTGAATTTAAGCACATAAATCAGCCAGGGTGGCAATTGAGCCCGAGACAGAGGAGGCTTTTTATTGGCCTCGTAAAAACAGATGCAGAGGTATGTTTCTCACACGTGTGTCTGATGGGTCGGCTCAACTCCCCTGAAGCCAGTTAGTGCACGTCCCGGCCTTAACAATTAGCCCGACATGGTAACCTACCGCTCAGACTGACAAGCCCATGTTAAAAAAAAAAAGAGAAAGAAAACAGGATGAAAGGCGCCGAAGCACTCCGACATTCCAGTTTCACCACAAGTTTGAAGATGATGAGATTGTTTTTGACACATAAAAGAGCTCATATTAAGTGTCTAGACCAATACATGGATCTATATATTTCTTTAAGCACAGGTTGTATCTCCAGTTAGTGTCTGTTGGGGTTATTATGGTTTATTTGAAAGCTGTGTACTTGTACTCATACCCAACCCTCTCCTTTGAAAGGGCTTGTATGGATGATTCATATGCTAATGGTCCTTTGGTTATGCTTTTATTAGGATACTTGTTACTTTGTCAAAAGATTTTTGTCAAGATGCAACAAGCCGCTGAATGAAGATGATTTGATTTCACTCGACTTGCATTTATTTTTTAATCACCAGCTTGACATAAGAATAATAACGTTTCATACAACACATCTAAGTGTTTTTGAGCAGAGCAACATGAGAGAGATGGGCGACTGCCTGAGTGTTTTGCCAGATTACTTTTTTCTTTTTTTCCTGTTCTGACTGTGCGCCTGAACAAGTGTGGTTGTGTTGTGTTCCCGACTCTGCAGCCTCGGAGGGAAGACTGCAACAGTGTGAGGCCCGAGGACTGGAATCCCCGGATCCCCGTGGGCATTTCCCCTGTGAGCAAACAAGTGCACCCTCACCTGCACACATTCGCATAGACAGTACACACACTGGAGCTCAGCATCCCCCAGCATTACAAACTGAGAACTCGAATGTGCTTGTAGAAAGAAAAAAAGACATTTTATTTCAACCCTCAGGCTTGAATTTTTGCAGTTTTTTGTTAAAAAATTTGTCAAATAAGCACATCAACTATTAAAATCACACTTTTTTTTACCTGAATCGAAAGCTTCAAATTTTAATTTCATCCGATTTTACCAGTATATAAAAAGCGGAAGCACAAAGAGCCTTTGTGTTCATGTTTTAGCCAGTCATAGACCAACTAAAGCAGCTGTAAACCATGACTCTCATATTAAATGTCCTGAAGAGTACAACGACCCAGTGTGTGCTTACAAGCAGAGCCCCTCAGATCAAAGAAAAGGGACAAAATTGTGCAGGATTTTAAAATTTTCTTCATCTTCTTTTAAGGTGAAACCATCGCCTCTTCCCAGCGAGTGGAACGGCAAGACGGAGAGCTGCATCCTCAACATCAACTCCACCATCTACGACGAGATCCAGCAGGAGATGAAGAGGGCCAAAGTTTCCCAGGCCCTGTTCGCAAAGGTGGCCGCCTCCAAGAGCCAGGTACGCAAACACACACGGACCGGCAGCCTGGATGAAAATCAAAGAGGCGGAAAAATGCTAATCTTTTTTTCAGTATCCAAAATTTGGAGTGGGAAAAACATTTTGTCAAAGACGGATTTCACTATCTTGATCTTCAACCTTTGAAGACGCAGCCATCTGGGAATAGAAATACATTTTATTCATAAGAAACTCTACATTTTGTAACACGTCTCAAAGTGTGACAGAAAAGAACAGGACTGTAAAATGAACTGAGAGCCAAGCGAATTTAAAAACAGGCTCTTGTAATGTGTTTATGTAAATGTGGGAAATCATTTTGCTGTTATTTTTTTTTACTAAAGTTGCTCTTAACATGCAAATATACCTGCTCTGAGTTTCCAAACATAAACACACCGATGGAAGAGAGGGGAAAGTTGTCGAGGACAGTCCAGATAATCGGTCTTTGGCCTGGGGAGCGAACTCCTTCAATGAGGCCGTGCAGACGCCGTTTAAAAGACGAGACAAGTATTCAACATGCACATGACATCATATCTTAAAGACAAAGGTGTAGGAATCTACCCACCCCTTCTCAAAACTTGCCTCAGAGCATCACTGACATAATTTATGGCCATAATGACACGTCCTCTTTATTGTGGGTTTGGAGTTTAGCAGTCGACACTGTTTCGACACCAAACAAACCTGTTTATATTAGCTCTGCTGGGTAAGACGATGGGGCCCCTGTTATCTTCTCCCAGAGAGCAGGACGCTCACACAATACAAGGCTGTGTGTGGTGGAAACAGCTCCACTTTAACTCTTTATTAAAAGTAATTTAAAAATGGAGCGCTAAGGAGTTATTATTAAAGGTTTTCATGCGTCTGTCGGAGGCAGAGTTGGAGAGATTTCCACAATTGTGCTTGATGAAGAAGATGGGGGGAGAATAGATCACCAAGGGCGGAATAATCTAGAAATATCTGCAAAGGCTTTATTTTTTTCTTGCTGATTAGGATGATTATACCCCCAGATAGCTTTGTTTTACCAAATTGCAGTTTGATGCACAAACCACTGTTTTTGTTAAGGAGTTCAAAGACTCCTTGGAAGGATGGAGAAAGAGAAAGGGGGGAGAGCACGTCTTTTTCTTCCCAAATGAAGGTTTGTCTGGGAACAGGGTTTCCACCGTTGCCTTTTCCACCTCACTCCCATCTCTCTGTCTTGCCCCCTCTACCTCTTCCACTTCTCCCCGTTTTCTGCCTCTCTTTCACGTTCCATTCATGGCAGGCGGGTGTGAATGTGAATTGAGCAGCAGATAAGAAGTGTGCTAATTATGCCTGTGAAAGGGGGCCTGGGAGAGCACTTATCTCTGGCTCCATCTCGTAATGGGCGCTCCCCGGGCAGCTGGTCTCCCCCCTTGCTACCCAGCCGGCATCACCACAGCTACCAGCACCGCCAGGCCGGGCCCGCTCCTCCTCATCAGAACCTCAAAAAACAGACACCGGTCCCAGTTTTCAGCTGCTGTTTCCACACGGGTCTTTTTACCGCTTTAAGCGTTTATTCGACTCCTTTTTGGGAGCGGACAAGTTTGTAATTTTACCCCAAATTTTAGACCAGAGTAAACAATATTACAAGCAAGTTTTTGAGTTTCCTTCCAGAGTTCACATCAGTCTGACAAGTTAAGTTTAAATCTGAATTTTTCTGTCAAAATCTTATTTGTCACACTGCTGAAGTAGAATTTTAACAATTTCCAGTAAAATAATACATTTTTGGATCTAAGGAAATCTGTTTGTTATTTTGACATTGAATCAATCATTTGAGTCTCTTTGTTATAATAATACAGAATATTTACCAGATTGAGATTATAAGGTGGACATATCTCAGGAGCGTTTTCACTATTTTTCATTTGCTGTTTTAATTCATCAGATAAATGTAAATCATGATCAAGTCCTTTTACCTGTTTTCACTTAAAGTCTGAAATCACGAGAAAAATCTTCCTGATCATTTATTTAAAAAAAGTAAAAGTGAGATTTCATTTATTCTCAGCTTTATGACATGTAAAGTAAAAATATTTAGTTTGAATTTGATTATATAGCTCATATAAAGCTTATTAAATTAGAAATCCATGGCCTCAAAAAATATTTTAAAATTATTTTAAAATACAGAAATGTCCATTTTCTAAAAAAGTACTTTCACTTTGATATTCAGTTTTTCATTGAGACTCTTTCAGACATCACTCTTTCCAGTGTGAATGTCTCACCTGTTCATCTGACACTAAATAAAATTACAAAGCTTTATTTTGAAATGATCGGATAGATGTAGTGATATTAAAGACTCACTGAAGCTGTGGTGAGGTTGGGTATCTCAGTATTTAAGGTATCTTCTGTGGATCTCCGCTGAATTAAACAGACAGTTGAGAATATTTTAAGAATGATGAATTTCTGCCCAGATTAGCCTCTAATTTCTGCTCGTTCCTCACGGATCCCACAGCTGGAAATGAAGAAATATTTGCTCCACATGAGCAGTCATTTTATGTTGAAGGACGTTTTCTCATACATTGTACATCACAGTTAATTGTTAAAGATCTACGGTGCGAATCAGTCAGCCAGGAAGAACAGCTCGATGTATATTTAAACACGGCGTTGTAAACGACAGCTGAAAGCCGGAGAGGTTTGCAGCCTTACAGGGAGAAAATAACCACTATCTAAGCCTCGGGTAGAGCTCCATGCCAGCAGAGACTGCTGGTACGGAGGTTGGTGGAGGAGCAGTGTGGATGTGGATGGTGATGAGGATGGAGGATGGGCAGGACTGGCAGGATGCCCATCTGGGGTCCAGGGAAATAATCGTGGGGGGAGGGTGGAGGAGAGGCCTCATCACCAGAGGCTGGCACAGTCCTATCGGCTCGGTGTGCTGTTCAACTTCTGCCTCTTTAGCTCTGGTTAGGATTTCCCAGCATGCTTACGCAAGCACAGGGTCACATAAGCAGTGGGTATAGATGTGTACAGTGTGGCGTGTCTTATAGGTTTAGCTTTGTGCTCAGTGTGTTTGCCTCGTTCACAGAGAGATGAAGTTAGGAGGGAAAGGCGGTTAGCCGTGGAGACTTGAGGGGAGAAAAGAAGAGATGTGAAGTTAAAGGAGGTCAAAGCAGTGTTTGTCCTCTGGGTGAGGAAGCAGTAAACTGGAGTTTAGTGATTGGTGCATGCTCCGCTGAGTGTGTATTTACTGTATATAGATGTGTGTTTCGCTGCTTCTCCCTGCATCAATATGGGTTTCTGCACGGGCACATTCGAGTGTGTGTGTGTGTTTGTGTGTTTGGGGGTTTCTGGATCGCAGCCATCCTGTCCTCTCTTAGGGCTCGTAACCACAGCAGGCCTCTGCCACCCCTTAACTCCCCCCCAACCCCCACCCCCCACCTCACATATTCAATGTTGCATTTCAATCACTCTTTTACTGCCACATATTCAGAGTAGTAACTATAGAGCAGTGAATCTAACCCCGTCAGTGTTACTCTATCAGATTAAAGGTCTCTGTTCACATTCACTCTGAACATTTGTATTATTTAAACGATCATGAAAAGGACAGTCCTCTCTTCATACAATCAGAGGCTTTATTTACAATCCTCGCCTTAATAACCCAAACCGATCACTCTCCATGAATGCTCCATCTATGTTTAGCTCCAGGAGATGTCAGACTCGGAGAAAACATCTGCGCACTGCTGGTTCAAATCCAGGAGCGGCACTGCCAGAGGCGGCGATTTCCATCGAACAGCCCGTTTTATTTTAGCCTGCAGAGGTGGGAGCTATGATATGGATAGCCTCGAGTTGATGTCAACATTATTAACCGGCTCAGTACGGCTCGAGCGCTCTCTAGCAATCGACTGTGCTTTGTTTTCATTCACGCTAACAGGGGAGGCTTGCTGTGTTGGCTAGCCTGGCAGAGAGGGTGGCTCATGTTCAGCTGAGCGATGGGAGGTTAGCCGAGGGGTGGGGTAGGAGAGGGTTGGGGGCATTCCTTTGACACGACTTTTATGTCCGAACATCCCCGACACTTCCTGAGAGGAATTGCGCGACGGGTAGAATCAGAGTCCCTGCTGTCATAAAACAAGCACCCCGGGAGCCGTGCGCACCGCAGGGCTCAAAGCCCTCCGACTCCTCAATGACCAGAAGAGTACAGAACTCCAACACCGCCACCAACACCGCCCTCTCTCTCCATCTCTCCATCTCTCTCTCCCTCTCTCTCACTCGCTCATTCTCCCCTGGAAGAGGCTACGCTAATTAGCCAGGCTCTAATGAGACAGAATGGCACTGATCTGGTCCGCCGCTGCGCCACCGGGGGGGCCGGGCAGAGGGGGGGCTGGTGCAGTAGGGGGGAGAGGAGAGAGCGAGAGGGGGGAGGTTGGTGTATGCCATCTGTCACCCTGCACCCGCCTGGCACGGCAGTCCCTGGAGTGGAGGGTGGGAGGGGGGGTGAGTGCCTTGTTGGTCTGGAGAGGTGGGGGAGTGGGTGGAGATAGGTGGGGGGGTGGGTGGGGACACTGATAGGAGTCGGAAGGGAGGGTGACAGAATAAGTGGAATAGCTGCTTCCTTCATGTTTAGTAAATGAGTGATTTCCTGTCAGGGGTGGAATCGGCTCGGCGGTCATGCAGGTTTTATGGATTGGATTCGTTTTTTAAATTCTCACTTTAATCCCAGATATTTGGCAAATGACCAACCAGACCAGACCCACAAACACACACACACTCAGAAACACACACACACACACACACACACACACACACACACACACACACACAGCACTTGTATCATTCTGCTCCATCCAATGGCTGCTTAACAAGAGGGGCAGATGGCTGACCTTTCGGGTGTCTGTTTCTGGATTGTGACTGTTCAGAGGTTTGTCTGTTACTGAGATGCCACTTGGGGTCAGCGTGTTAGAAGCCATGTTTTGCATGAGGAGTCATGCTGCAATGATATTAAATAACATCCACAGTTAGGATGAACATTATCAGGTGCTATTATACGATATCAAGTCTAAGTCTGTGTTAGTCGGAGTAAAATGTTGCTCCACTTTTTGGACTTTTCTTGACGTCTTCATTTCAGATTTTTTTTTTTTTCCTCCTCACAGTTCTCCTCAAATCCCTCTCCCTCAAATGAGACAGATCAGAGCAAGTTTATCACAGCCCCTTGGGATCTTGAAAGGCCGTGACTGTTTATTAATTGATTTATTTATTTATCTCCAGTGCCTGCTTGGTTATTAGGTTGCCATGGGAAACAGGCTAGGCCAGATCCTCTCTATTATTAAAGACACAATTTCTTGAACTGGAGACCCAGCTGTCTGAATAATTAATTTAGCGAATGAATTATCTTGCAAACGGTAAGTCTTCCCCGCCCTCTGAAATGAGCCTTTCTCTTATTGTTTAATGGACAGTGGAATTCCCACCAGCCTGTTTCTTTTTTTTCTTCTTTCTCTCGCTCTCTACTTCCCGTTTCATCGAACCCTCCTCCTCTAAGCAGGAGCCGGGGGTCACACTGAGCATGCCCAGAGCACTTTGTGTCTCTCCTGCCATCTCTCTCACTTACGCCTTACATGCCACCTCTCACCCCATCTGTCTCCAATTGCACAACCCACTCCCTCCTCCTCCTCACCCGCCTCCCACCCAGCAGTCCAAAGTAGGAATCTGCCCCGACTGTCAGGAGTCCAAATCGTGTCTTCGTCATCACCTCTAATGGATTATTATAAGACTAATGTTGCCTGCTGAGGTGCAGGTGTCAGAGATGTGCTAGCTCAGGTAACCAGCAAACAGGCCAATAGTAAATCAGCCTTCATTTAGTGAAAAGTTCTCCTAACTAGTCCTTTACCCACTAACTTCACTCCTCACCTAATCTATCTTCTCTTGTTAGCGAACGCCGCCCTCGTCCCGGTGACAGCCCCGCTACTCTGCTAGCTCTTTCTTTGCTACAACTGTTTGCTAGCTAACCCTCTCCCACTGTCTCCACTTCTCCTGACAGACCACACAGGGCTTGTTCTGAGGCCCATTCTCGCTAATCTGATCAGGCAGGCAAATACGCCGGGAAAAGCGCTTTAATGATCCCCCTAATTACCTCAAGTCAATACCAACTGTATTATTAGACTCGGGGAAAATATTCCATTAGGGTGCCCCCCGTGGGAGTCCCCCCTGTGCGCGCTGATGTCACGCGCCGCGCGCCCCCTACGCTTGTAATTAATTTTATTTACACACTCAGGAATGCACAAGGTCGCACCTGCAGCCCGGAGCCGCCCGACTCGGCCCGCCTAATCAGATCTGTCATAATTATCATTCTGCATGCTTCTGACACACGCCGGGAAATATTTCAATTTAACTACAGCCACTAGCTCCGGCAGATGCAGTCTGAGAGAGGGAGAGAGAGAGAGAGAGTGTGTGTCTGTGTGCGCACAGGAGTGTGTGTGGTACTGAGTGAGGGGGAATTGCATGGGGAGATATTAGGACTATCCAAGTGCTCATGCTGGTGCTTGTGTGCATTATTTCTCACCCTCCATCTTTCACACTCTCCTCTCTGTCCTTATCCCTCTTCCTAAAGGGGACTGACTCTCCATCCTCATCACTCTGTCCTCACTTTAGTCTTCAGACATGCTGCAGAGATGGGACCTTAAAGAGGACATATACAAGTTCCTTTTTAAGGACTTTTCCTGTCGACTCTCCTGCCACATCTTTAAATATTCCATTTAAAAGTCTGTAAATAATTCCCAAGTTTAGAACCAGCCGCACATGAGGACTCGTTTTTGGGGAAACGTTTGTTCAGTTTTATTACTGTCTAAAGCAAACTTGTAGACCTATTAAGAACAGTTATTTAACTGACACAGACAATTTGCAGGTTCTCTGCTATTTCAATCTCTAATTCAATAAGATCAGTCATGATTTATCAGCCTAATTACGCTTTGATATTAGCAATTAAATCCCAGCTTTGAATTAAATATCAATCAAGCTCTTATAATTGATGGAATCAGACTCTATGTAGGTACTTTGTGTGTTTGTAATGTTGCTGCCACTGTTGTTTATCTCCAGTTCATCTTCACTGTGTTTGTTGTCTTCTGTGCATTCATCCTCCATCTGCCTCGGCAGTATTGAACAGAAAAAAAAAAGATTATAAACAAGAGGTAAATTTGTGGTGGGAGAACAGTGTTTGAACATTCAGTGTGCTGTGCAGACAGAGCTAGTACCCAAATATCAGCCCACCACCAGGCTAAACTAGATTATGCTGCAATTTAGACAATACTAATATTTGATACAAAGAGGCACATGTACTGTAGCAACATCAGGGGCTCGATTTTCTGCCATTTTGTACAAATAAACAATCTGAAGTGCTTTAGTGCAGAGAGAGCAGAATTTCACCAAAATGGGATGTGCACTGATATTTCAAGTGGAAATTCGTTTTTCCGGTGCCCATCGATTCAGAGATTTAAGATTAGAAACATAAAAAGATCCTTTATTTTTTTTATTTGAATGTAAACAAAAATGTGAAGAGTTAGAGTGAAAATGTCATCGACGAGATATCACAATGATGTTTGATTATTTATTAATTTAGTGTTGGATTACCGGTTGGAGTAAATAATCCTAAACGACAGTCTGTCTGTCCATTATGGAAACAGTTACAGTCTGACTTTAGTGAGGCAGAGCTGCTGCTGCTGTGTGTGGGAACTCCCAGGCTCTGTTATTGTTGGTCAGCTTTGTGAACTCGTGTGTCATGAAGAACTTTCCTGAAAAAGAAGCAAGCGTGCAGTAAAAACCGACATTGTATCCACACAGATGTTTAATGTGCTCCATTTGAGATGGACTGGTCATTTGCCTTTGGCTATTCTTTATGCTCCATCTGCCTCTATTTGGTTGTTTGAAAATTCCCAGCGCTCTTTATTGGTTTGGGAACCATGACGTAAACTGTCACACACAGAAACTGGTCGGTATTGTTTCTGGGAGCGAGTGCTGACACAGAGAGAGGGCCATTTCCTGCATAGTCATGCCTTGCGTCCACAATGTGTGTCGTGTTAGCTGTCAGTCTGTTATTGTTGTCAGCTCGCTTATTGTATCTGGAGAGGTCGCGACCCCTCTTCAGAAAACGCTCCCTGTTTGGCGAAGACTTCTCCGCGTCCCGGCTCCAATGGATATGAATTGCTTGGCATGTATGATTCAGACTGGCAAATTTCTCTCCTAAAGCTCAGCCACTGACATCCTCACAAAAGAGGAATGGTGACACAATCTGGCAACCCGAATCTGGAAAGCATCCACTTTGACAAGACATCAGAGTCTTATCAACCTGATTTAATAACGAAGAAAGATTTCTCTTTTAGAGGCAAGTTTCAAATGATTTAGATGACTCAGTTTTTAATCTTCAAAAGCCTTCCTTAAGAGAGACGCAGCTTCACCATCAGTACATATGAGAACTGGAAATTTCATCATCCATTACTGTGGTCGTAAATCCAGGCATCCTCAGGGCCTATCTGTCATTTCAAAGAGCAGTCCGTTTGATCCATGTGTTTGGGAGAAAGAATACTTGTGATTGCTCAGGACCGCCGTGTGAATTGGAATCAGAGAGAAAGGTTATAAAAAATAAAAAGTCTCTTAACAATGAACACAACTCTTTGAACATATAGTAGAAATAGGCAGTTTATTTTTAGAAATATCTTACCGTACTGTGTCTGTAACTGATCATTTTTCATTGTCCCATCACTTGACATCCTAAATGTTCTCATATACCGTCTGTGATGCTGCGAGACACTGTCAGAAATGTGAGGTTTTTCCCTGAACATTGGCTGTTGCACTTGTCAGGATTTAACATTACATCAGGACATGGAGATTAAAAGATATTAATGATTTACTAATCATTTAAAAACCCTATATTTGATTTTAAAAGAGTGCACAGATGTTACATAGGCACCAGTTTGAGTTTTAATCAGCAACATGTTTCAAAAAGTTGGAATAAAGACAAGAAAACACTGAGAAAGTTCAGTCATGCCAAAAACAACAACAAAATCACCACTTTCTAAATAATACAGATCCTGGTTAGTACAGTGCTCAGCATAAATGAGTTTCCTTAGTTTCCTTTTAAAATCCACATTTTCTATGTCAGACTATACAACAAAATACTCCCCAAATGTAGGTCATTGATTGCAAACAAGATTTTTGAAGTTGCATACAAAATTTTTTTTTTTTTTTAATTTAAAATCAGGAATGCAAAAAATGAGGACACCCCAATCAAAGTTCTGGGATCAAAGCTAAATTTTAGTTACTGTATCACCCTTATTTTCATCTTATCGTAAATAAAATGTTATGTTAGCTCAACTTTGTCAAAACTTTGGAAATTGTACTTTTGCTCCTCTAAATATTTAGTAATATATTACTTCTAATAGGGGGTGTACTGACTTATGCGTGGCATTGTATCTATACTTGGTATCCTGACACTCAAGAGAGGCTGGATCCACCAGAAGTGAAGGTGGAAGGAGGTTCATCATTCTGTGAGAGACTGCGTGAGTAAATATTTCAGCAGTTTCAGAAAAATCTTCCTCAAATGAAATAATCGCACATAATCAGAGGATTTCTTTTTGAGGTATGGACATGATCCACGGGAGCCACTGCATTCAGATTAGACATGACTCTGTAGTGGAAGTCACCGTCTGCTCAGCTTGTTTTTATGTACATTTTCCATCCTGTGTAATCACATACAAAATTTCTGCGATCTTAGCGGCTTTTGCAAATTATTATCATGAGAAGTTGTTTTAATTCTTCATTTTAAGTAAAGAGCAACTGAACTTGATGATTGATGTGGATGGAGATGAGAGTCTCTATGGACTACATCAACACTTTGAAAGACGCCTCAGTATCCGTCTTTTCAGGGACACTTGATAAATTATTTTTTTGTGATCTAGCTAAGCCATTTCCTCTCTGCGCTGCGAGTGAATAAAAGAGCGCAAACACGATTACTTGCGCACACATCAGTAATCTTTGCCTCTCCTACAGTAAGACACATTAGTATGTTAAGATCTAGCTAGCAGTCATGTCTTTGTGTAAACCTTGCCCTCACAGTGATCCTTCCCCTATCACACAGTCAATAAAGGAATAAAAACCTGATTACTCTTGGTATGTAATAAAAACACTACATAACCAATGTTAGTCATGCAGAGGTGCAGTGGGGCTACGATAATCAGAGGGTTCAAATCCTACCATGAAACATAAATTATTTCCTTTGCTTTAAGCATTTAAGATGAAACACCTCCACAGAGGAGCGTACATTCAGATGAACACGTGTTCCTCCAGTAAATATTTGATCTGATGAGACTAATCACCGTCTCTTCACTTTAGTTGACTCCAGCGCTTGTTTTATCCGTGTAACACACAGCGAATAAAGGAAGTCATGTCGACTGAATGACGTCCAGTGAGCGTGTGGCGGTTAAGAAAGAAATTAGATAAAGACTCTAGAACAGAGACACAAGCAGGACTTTGTGGTGTCGGAGTTAAACCATGAGGATACAATGTGTTTTTCACTATATTCTTGGCACGTCATTACTGTGTTGTCATTGCAGTTCAAATAAGGCCGCTGACCCCGTTTCCATCACTCTGTCCTCCCCACTGTATACCACAGATTATTTGTACAGTCCCTCAGAGCAGTTCTGTTTGTACATACAGACTTTCTACTCCTCCTAAAAAAGGAGAAGAAGAGTCTCGCCATGAATTGTTCAGTCAATTATTGCTTATTGTTGCGGGAGGTTCACATATGCCCGAGCATCCGGACGGTCTCAACACTCCTCTGTCGTCAGCAGATGGGCGTCTACCACAGCTAATGTTTTTACAACACAGCGCACGTTACCACGCGGGAGTGAGCGCGCACGTGCAGCCGCCAGTTTGGCGTGCCCGGGGAGGAGGAACACGTTATCGGCTGCATTTATCTGCATAGTGTTGTCTGCCAGAGCTGGGCCTCCGCCAGGTTCAAGGAGGAGGAAAGACAATCACGCATTGTCTTCCTTCACTTCTCGCTCTCTCCCTTGTTCAGACACAGAAGAGGTTTGTCTGGCTGCCTCCGAAACAGCCAGTCACAACAATGGCCGCAATCATTTCTCCATCTGAGATTTTTTTTTTTATTTCTTTTTCTCTCTTCCTCTCAATTTTTTTTGATGTGTCATCTTGGCCTTTTGTGTCCAAATGGTCCTAATCCAAACGCTTCTCAGTTGACTCACATGTTCTGTCTCTGCGGTCGAAACTGAGGCCTTGTTTTGGTTCAGACGGTAATCCGAGGAAGGGATGAGGAAAAAAAATGGGATAGCAAATTGATGGACATCTGTTGGCTTATTTTATTAATTTATTTTTGCAGTGGCCGAGGTCAGCCTGATGGGGCTGATAACAAGCAAATGAGATTAGAGGGAAGGTGTTGGCCAGGCCGTGTGACAGCCTCTCTCTCTCTCTCTGTCTGTCTGTCTGTCTGTCTGTCTGTCTGCCTGTTTTTGAGTCTGTCTCAGGGCAAAGCCAGTTGTTGATTCATGTTCCTCTGAGCCTCCATGTTGGGGGTGTAGTTAGGTGGTGTAGGGGTGAACAGCTGGGTGTTTTGGGCGGTGAATACCATGCTGTTCCCTGACAGAGCAGGCCTATGCTCTTATTGGCAGCTTGTGACTGCAGCACTCACACTCACAGTATACCACACTGCATAGCTGGATGAATCTCGCGCATGAATTCAACTATTGTGTCGGAAGGAAAATATTTTTATCACAACACCCAGTTGCTATTTATACCGGGGTTATACAATAGGCTGCTGAAGAGTTTATTACCCTTTTAATTTGGCACCTTATGACCCCAGAGCCCCGTGAGCCTCTGGTCAGATCTGCGCCTGTTGTAAAACAAGAAAAGGCTGCTGGTTCTTGATTGCCAGCCCTGTTGTCTGAAACTAATTAATAATTAAGAAATGATGACCTGGAGGCAGCGGATTATTGTGCAATATTGTCGCAGGTGTGTGCCAACACAGCAAGATAATCCTACGCCTGTCGTATTTATTGCTTCGATGAACCTGTTTGCAGCATCTGTGAGTTTAACTGAGAGATATCGAATTTAGCACAAAAGATGTGTTTTTAAAGGTAGGCTGGGAATAAAAAATAAAAAGGCAGTGGATTAAATTCAGTGGTGTAAGCTCAGGAGCTCATCAGTGTTTGGTCTGAATAATCTGAAATATGCAGAGGAGTGATAGAACACACTCTGATTTTAAAACATACATCTGATCTGCAGGATCCTGAACCCAGGTGTACATAGAGGTGTTTATTGACCCTCAAATGCTTTGGTTTTATTTTTCTTCTATTTCATAGCTGCTCAGATTCTTGACTTTTAGTGTTTCCCCTTACATTACAAATCGCTGAATCAGAGCTGCAAGTAAATTCATCATAAATTTATCCAATGGTCCTTTTTTAGCATTGTACTTAAAGTGTATTTTCTTGAAAATGAAATACACAATTGTTTATTTATTATTTTTTATGACTAACCACAATAATTTTATCAGTGAAAAGTGGTTTTAAAATGATGGTGAGAGCTTTCTTCATCAGAGGTGACATTTCCAGATTTAAAAAAGTTGCATTCATAATAAGAGAAAACAGCAATGCTCTGATTTCAGGAGCTTGAATCTGTATTTTTATATCTGTTTTTCCTGCTAAAGGACCAAAAAGTACCATGAAGATATTTTTTTTTAGTCAAAAGACATATCCATATAGACTCAGTTCTATTTATAAACCTTTATTTAACCTGGTAAGTCCCAGCGAGGTGATGCAAATTCTATTTTCCAAGGCAGACCTAGCCAACCAGGAAACCACGGTCCATAAACATGAACATTAACCATTAAAATCAACAAAAACATTGATAAGAGTCTTCTTTCAATTCTTTCATTTCAGATTTAAAAAAATTTAATGACACCAGATCTGTGAGATTTAAGTGATTCTGCAGTAAATTTACAGGCTGAGGGTTCAGATCACCTGAAAGATTTTTTTACCAATTTACAGATGAGCTTTCAGAGCAGGGAAAGATGATGTGGTAGCAGGACAAAAATACAAGATCACTTTAGTCCAGAACGGGTCAAAAAGTAGCAGCAACAAGTCAATTTTAACATGACAAGAAAAACAACTTATTATATAAAGTGCAAATGTTCCTCAACTTCTTTTCCCCCAATGTCTGTCAAGGACATTAAAAAGCACCGACAGGTCGACCCTTAAACAGCCGTCAAAACAACAGATAAGAACATAACAGACGAACAACCTTATCATTAATTTAAGGTGATTAAAGAAAGGCTGTAGCTAAAATCTGTGTTCAGGTTCTACCTCTGAGTGAACATGATGTAAGTGATGCAAAGTACAGCAAGTGTGAGTTTAATAAAAATAATAATGATCATAATAATAATAGTCTGTCTGTGCACATGTGACTGTTTTTCTTATGTTACTGTAAATGAACTTATCGCTGCTGCTGAGTCTGTTCACTCACCTCAGAGGTCATGTGTCAGAACCTGCAGGAAAAGCGATGACAGGTCTTTTTATTTTTATACTTTTATTGCTTTTATATAATAACATGTGTCATATACCTCATACACCTTTATTTCATGACCATAATAAATAATTAGAGAATACTTGTGTCTCCTCCTGAAGCGCCCTCTCGTTCAGCTCCAGTGCCGTTGTAGAGGACATGGTGGTGATGTGAAGTCAGACCTTTCTTGCAGAAACACGGTGTGTGAATACTGTATTCAGTGTTTGGCCCGTAACCAGGCCTGCACCGCGCTGCTGCTGCTGCTGCTACTGCTGCTGCACTACCTGTTCTATTTATTTATAGAGAGCCCTTAATGATCTTCAACACAACACAGAGTACACTGCATTGAAGAGCCCTAGATTTTTGTTTTCTGCACCGTGCTGGAACACTTTAGCGGCAGGGGCAGCAAGTTCCATGATCCAATCAAGAGCAGTTGGTGCTTGTCAGCTGCGGTGGAGAGGCTCAACAAATTACATTAAACAATAAAGGGGGAAAAACAGATTTGCAGCAGTATGGTAATGTTGAACGGGAAGGTTGAACGTATTACCTCGTTGATTAAGTAATTCTTACTAAAGGATATTGATAGATAAGTAAGTTTTACATCAAATTCATTCCATGCTGCTTTTAATTGCTTATTTTTTCTTCCTTTTTAGTGAAAGTTTTTTCTCAGAAACAAGGAGTCAAATAGCTAACTCCTCTCACTCTCTCCCTCCATTTGTCTCCATCTCTCTCCCCCTCTTCCTCCCTTTATCCCCGCTGCCTCTGCCTGGCCTGTGGAAGCAATGCAATTAGACAAACACAAACAGAGCTCTTGAAACTGCCACGGAAAATGCTGACTGTCCACTGGCCACAGAGCCCGGCCTGGAGCGGAGCTAACTGCTGTTTGACGTGCATCACATAAAAAAGGGAAGAAAAAAAAAAACCTTCGGCGAATGTCGGGTTCCCTCTCTCCCCGAAAGCTCGAAAAGTGTTGAAACGAAGGTGGCGAAGTGAAAAAGCCACACAGGCGAACATTCCCACTTGTGAACTAATAAACTCTCTGTACTTTATTTCATCAAATGGACTTCCTGGCATTGAAATGGAGTTCACGTCGTGCCTTTGTTTGATTGGCTCTGCTACTTTGGGTTTAATCCTGCTGGTTTGGGGAGTGTTTGAGTTGGATTACTCCATCGTTGGGCCGGGGTACTGTTTCTCTGGCTTTGACAAGATGGTGTGTGGTGGTTTGTGTGCGTCTGTTGGTGCGTTTTTTGTTTCGTGGCGCATGTGTGTGTGCGTGCGTGTATGTGTGTGTGTGTGTTCTCCCTCACCACCGAATCAGCTGAAACCACAGACAGCCCAACTGGAGCGCCGTCCAAATCCCTCTGCATGCAAATTAAAAACGCAACAATAAACGTGGCAAAGGAACAAGGTGGGCACGCAGGCTTTATGGCCTCCCTCTCTCTCCCTCTCTCTCTCTCCCTCTTTATGTCCCTCTCTCTCTCTTTTTCTCCCCCTCTCGGCTTCCTCCAAAACCCCTCCTGGGTTTGATGTGGCTTATGGGAGGAGTTGGAACAGGGGACAACCAAACTGCTGAGTTATCTCTTGCATGCAGTGTGGCGGCGTGGCTCTGCCCTCCGTGTGTGTGCATGTGTGTGTGTCTGTGTGCAGACCAGCAGCGCGGTGTAATCCTGTGGAAATGAAAGGTGCTGCCGCGCACTGGCCGGGAGATTACAGCGCCGCTCTGTCACGCTGCCAGGACAGACTACCCGGCTGAAAGAGTAGCCCTCCGTAACACACACACACTCACACTCACACACACCTCGCCGTGTTCCCTCCTCGCTGGTTTCACTCTCACGCCGTCCTTCTTTCTTCATCCACTCTTGTCCCTTTACAACTCTCCAGATCCAGCGCAGGCCCGGCTTCAGCCCCCTTCCTCTCTTCACTCTCTCACCCACACAGCACTACAGCCTGTTATTTCTCTTACTCACACACACACTCTCACACGTTAACTCACACACACACACACACACACACACACACACACAGGCCTGCTGAGGTTTAGGTCATCATCTCTGAGCCCGGGAGGCCACGTCACTCAGCCCCTGCAGAGCCTTTCTGTCTGCGCAGTCCTCAGTTTGTCACTCAGCTCCACCAGCAAACACAAACACACGTCTGAGTCACAGTCGCAGCGAGGAGGAGCTCCTCTCTCTCTCTCTCTCTCTTTCTCTCTGTCTCTCTCTCTCTCTCTCTCTCTGCTGAGCTTATGAGTTTTTTATCTCGATTCACTTTTTATCTTTCTGTCAAATCTTTTTAAAAAGTTCAGCTCCTATTTTCACCTGATAGTCCGATCCCGACCTGAAACAGCCGGACCAAAAGTCGACATGAAAAAATATTCACTTTAATTTAAGACATAAATACAGACAGTGGTGTTAGTGATCATTTTTATTGTTTATCAATACACCACTTATACGACAGAACAGTTAAATTAGGGATTATAATCTCAAACTGCACCTCTTTATGTCTCAACTCAGCTCTCCGTTTACATTTGTAGCCTCCGTACAAACACACACAAACACACACACAGACAGTTGGTTTATCTGCTTTTAGTTTAAATGCTGCAAAAATCTGAAATTTGCTCCAGATTTTTTTAACGTTTAAGTTTTGTATTATTTTTTCTTCTTATATTTCAATCTTTCTGTAGTTTTGATTCTTTAACTGGTAACTTTTCTGTATTTTATTGTTTATTTTTGTCCTTTTCTCTCTTTAAAGTCTCTCTTTTATCCGTTTTTCTGTCTCACTGCTTCACCTCGAAGGATTGAATGTGAACCAGCTCAGTTCTTTTCTGTCCATATCCCACTAAACACCGACAAACTTACTTTAATCAGTCATTTTAGGATCAAAGTTGATCTTGATTTGTTTATTTCAGTTTATTCTTGTGTTGATTGGGTTTATTAACATGTGATTCAGCCTCAAGTCTCTTTCTCTCTTTTTTTCCTCCCAAATTAGTCTCTAATAGTCGTCCATCAGCCATAATTAACCTTAAACATTAGCCACTTAAAAGAGACGCTGCTCAGATATTTGATTTTAGTTTTTGATCAGCCGACCAAATTCGTGACTCTTTGTACTTTTTTTTATCATAATGTGATTTAAAAAAATCAGAGATTTTATGACATAGATGTAGATGAATATTGAAGGTTGATTAAACTTTTATGACTCAAAACAGATTTTTTCATCTTTATTATGAACTTTCTTTAAACTCTTGTTTTGATCCGACTTGAACATTCAAAAAAACCTCCAGAAGGATCTTTGTGGACTCACCTGTTCTCTGAGATCTGGTCCAGTTCTGCAGCTCCTCATGAGTCCCTGTTGGAGGTTCTGTTGACGGAGGCCAAAGTCATTGTACGAGTGTTTTATTGATCAAATAAAACTTGTGTGATTGTAAACGTCCCGCGCTCCTCCTCTGCTCTGTCTTTCATGGCCCTCTGCTGGAGGAGCGTCTCAAACATGGGAGTCACTCGCTCCCTCCCAAGGGTGCTGCTCAATATGCCGGTCTGTGTTTTCTCGTCACGTCAAATCATTTCTTTGGGCCGTGTTCCATGACCTTGGCTAATTCACATCTTCATCTTCAGCGGCGACAGAAAAAATGGGCTCAGTGCAGGTGCAGCAGCAGTGAAACAAACGACTCAGGGAGTGTGTGTGTGTGTTTGTGTTTTTATAAGTCCTTTAAATGTTTCTGGAGAACAGTTCCTGCTTTTAAATGGATTAGATTGAAGTGAAGATGAAACTGTGGTGCATCCGTCTTCATTTATCTCACTGTGATCCGGGTCTTTTGTGTCATTTTGACGTTGTTACAGGGACTCTGGTTGGTGGAGCTCAGTCAGTCTGGTCGATCATGTGGTTTTGCTCGCTGTAACCTTGGACCTGAAGTTTGTTTTAACACCAGTACGACTCCTTAAAGACAGCCGCTCCCAGTGAAATGTTAATTTTTTGACCTTTGTTCTTCCTCGAGTGTTCAAACTCGCATCTCTGACCTTCTCTCTCTCTCTAATCCCCCCCAGGGCTGGCTCTGTGAGCTGCTGCGCTGGAAGGAGGATCCCTCTCCAGAGAACCGGACTCTCTGGGAGAACCTCTCGATGATCCGCCGCTTCCTGAGCCTCTCCCAGGTCGAACGTGACGCCATCTACGAGCAGGAGAGCAGCGCCGGGCAGCAGCACCACAACGAGAGGCCGTCTCACTTAATGCACATCTCCGCCGACCAGCTACAGGTGAGGAGGAGTGAGCAGTGAAGTGGGCTCCGTCCATTAGTATAAACATCAGAGTTTAAAGCTTAGGGCTGGGCGATAAACCGAAATTTACAAGAATAACCAACGTCTTTATGCCCATATCAATATATTTGGTGTCAAAAAAATAAAGAAGTAAAGGTTGGTTTTGGATGTGTGTAGGTAGGCTATGGTCTCATGTCCCTTTAAGACGTGACTCCGCCCCATCCAGTCCGTAACAAAGAGGGAAAGACAGGTGAGGAGATGGAGGACGGTTCAAAAGTTGGAGCGGCTGAAGTAGACGAAGTTAATGTGGGAGGGGGTGAGCAGCTTGTGGAGTAGTTATCGTCCATTTATCTTTATCGAGGTGAACGGATCAATATATCGTGATATTGATTTGAGGCCATATCGCCCAGCACCAATTAAAGCTCCTGTGAGGAGTTTTAGCAGGTGACAAAACAGACTGAAATTTATTTATTTTTTATGCTATGACCTGCCAAATCATTAAGACCACAATCATACAGATTGGTTTATTCTACACAGTGAGTTTAGATGTCTAAAACCTCTGATGAGGGGAATCCATGCTGTCCAATCTCCTTTTTACAGCAAAAAGCTTCAATAAGTCATAAATTTAGATGTTAAAATAAATAAAGTTAAGATTTTCTTTAATTCAAACATGACTCACATATGCACAAGACTAAATTAAAGCAGAAATAAGAGGTGAACCCCTTTAATCCATGAGGATCACCTGCATCGACATAAACAGAAACTCCCTTATTGTGTCTTTAACAGCTAACATCGCACACACGTCATGATATCAACAAAACAAATCTTCTCTCTGACTGTAAGAGCTGAAAAGATAATTCGATTAAACGATAAATTGATCAAAAATGTGCTCAGATCTGAGTGTGGAGCTCTCTTTGTCCCATTCGGTAATATCTTCAATATTCGGACTGTTTTATGGGCACTTTGATCGACGTAGGAAATTAACCCTTTAAACTGTCGTTAGCTGGAAATATAACTTTACGCTTTAATGCACAGAAACAAACTTTTTCCTTCTAAACACAAACAAAGAAATGAAAAAAACTTGATTTAAAGACATTCAAACATTAATTTAATCTCAGCTAATTTTACAGGAATTTAGAGTAAACAACACTTGGGGGGTTTTATGAACTTTTTTTAATTAGATGTTGGAGCTTTTTTCCGTGGAGCTGTTTTCTGGAGATGTCATTAACCCAAACTTCTTTAAAAGAATCCGTCATAAAAAATATAAAAACAGTCTGGAAGACGAGTGTGCAGAATCACAGACGTGGTTCAAAGTCCAAATGTCTTAATGAAGCACGATAATAACTCTGTTAAAAGTCTGATCCTCAATGAGTGATTTGGTTACGGGGGGACATGTCCAGTCACAAACAAAGGACGCCATTTACTGGATATAAATAAGATAATAGGATTTCTCTTACAAATAAATTCCTGCTGCAGATATGGAATGAGGGAAATTTTCCTGAGGACTCGGAGTGCAAACAGAGCTGGCAGGAGGAGATTGATAAAAGGAGATAAAAACTCTGATTGAATGGACAGTTTTTACGCCGCTCCGTCACAAACGCACGATACATTAACCAAATCATCTCACACTCGCCCGACCAGAAGTATCATAGCTTCATATATTGGTACAGTAGGAGAATCACATCTTTGGGTGCATTTATGCAGCTGGCAAACAGTCCCTGCAAAGTGCTGTTTTGCAGAACTTCATTATGAAACACCTATTCGACAGTGTGTGACTCAGAAATGAAAATAAAAGAGCACCCATTTTGTGGGGTCAATAGGGACCACGAGTTGCCCACTCACTCCCTCTCTAACCACACAATGAGACATTTTACAAGTAATGTGTCATGTGTTTACACTAACGGGACTCTGACGGCCGAGTGAACGCCATCGATAGCATTCTCACACTGCGGCAAATCAGCCAGACCATCGCGGGCAGAATTGTGCACAGGGAGCTTGTTTATCAGCGCCTGGCAATAGAGCCTGATAAGCAGCAGAGGCTATAATAGAGAGGCCAGTTTCCCACTGTGTGTAGCGCTGATTGTGTCTCTTCACCTCGTGTGTGTGTGTGTCTGCACTCCTGTCTACCCCCACAATGAGAGACACAATCTCCCACCACCAAAAAAGGAGAGAAAAAATCATATCTGCAGAGCTGATTACATTCAATGAGATATTACATGGAAAATTCCTTCAACCAAGAGCCTGTTCCCCACACAGCGGGACCATTTTTCCTCACAACTCAATTGATTTTAATGAAAGGCCTTATTAAGGCGCCGATAAGTGTTCACATCTGATAACATCCTCGTCTCCTTTCTCTTCCCCGTTTATTTCCCACTGCAGACTCAGCCGCCCCAGTCTCAACAGCAGCACCAGCCCTCCCTGTCCCTCCAGCACCCCTCCCAACCCCTCTTGTCCCAGCAGCCTTTGCAGCAGCAGCCGCCCACCATGGGCCCCCGATTGCCGCCCCGCCAGCCCTCCACAGCCTCTCCAGCCGAGACGGAGGACGACGGCAGCCGCGGAGGGAGCATCAAATCCCGCACCGGAGGAGGGAAGATCTCCCTGGAGGCTCTCGGCATCCTGCAGAGCTTCATCCAGGACGTGGGTCTGTACCCCGACGAGGAGGCCATCCACACCCTGTCGGCCCAGCTGGACCTGCCCAAGCTCACCATCATCAAGTTCTTCCAGAACCAGCGCTTCTACGTCAATCACCCAGCCAAGGCGCTCAGAGAGCCCAACAACAACAACAACAACAACAGCAGCTCTGCAGCGACCACCAACACCAGCAGCAGCAGCAGCTCGGCCTTCGAGGAGGAGCTGACGGACTTCAGGGAGAGCGGCGAGCTGCTGAAGGAGCTGGACGAGAGCGTGCAGACCAACAGCACCGTCTTCTCCATCAAGATCGAGGAGCAGCTGAGCCAGGGCGCCGAGGCCCAGGCCGAGCTCGAACACGAGGGGAAGGAGTAGGACTCTCCCCGCTCTGACACGTTCTCTGACACTGAGAGTTCTCATGTGCACACACACACACACACACACACACACACACAGACTGGTGACTGTGCTAAATGTGACGCTCCGGCCCACACAGAACCACCACACCGCAAATAAAGAGAAGTAGTGTTTTTAATCGGAACAGCGCCTGGACTGTTTGAGGAGTGTTTATATATAATATCTGTAACAGACTGACAGGCGACGTGAAGAGAGCGTTCACACACACACACACACACACACACACACACACAGACACACACACACTGGAGAGCCCATTTCAGACTCAAGTACTACTTTTTGGATTTTGTAAAACTTGTATTATTCACTGTAAAGACTGATGCACCATTTAAATAATCTGCACAAAAAATTATTCTAAGTATGTTGCCGTGGATATTTGCTGACTGCACTCTATGTCTGTCGTTTTACACTGACTTCCTTTATCTTTTTGAGCTACTGATTCTATTTAAAAAGAAAAAAAAGTCCCCCTGGAGTTTGTCAGGACTTTGATAGGTGTTTACGTATGTGATGTTTAACTGGATTTTTTAAAAATAAAAAATAAAAATAGCAAATGAAATCGAGGACCAAGTGGTTGACAAGGCCTTAATCATGAGGTATTGAGTCTGGAGCCTGCTGGCAGATGAGTTATTCTTTTAAAAAGCGCATAATGTGATTATGGATCACTCCAAACTCTGGAAGGCGATCACCCAGCCCAGGTGAATCTGAGAACAGCTCAGTCTTTACATATTATTTGTTAGGGAGGAAATATAAATATATATATATAGACATTATATTGTAACTGTAAAAAAATACAGTCTTAAAGAAACTATGCCAACAAATGCCTTGTACTATACGGCACTGCCGATGTTAGATTATTTTGCAAAACCTTTGTCACTGTAACTTTCTGAATTTGCCACACAGTTAGAAATGTGAATTTCCACCATGTTTATGTTGTCCGACATTATTTATTTGCAGTTCATGCAGTGTTTCTGATGTAATTACTTTTTTTTTTTTTTTTTCGTTTTTTCTCTTTTTTTGTTTTATTTTTAAAGTTTTTGTCACGTAGAGCTTTTTTAAAAAACTCCACCGGTTTCTGTTTTTCTATTTATAAATGTAATTTCGATGGGCAGTAAAAACAAAAAGTGTCTTAAACGTTTTAAATGGAGAAATGTGCTTTAAAGGTTGCCTATAAAAAGTGCTGTATGTCAACCAACTCATGCTACAAGCTTCACAATTAATGTTGTATGCAATTTTTACTATCATGCAAATAAGCTTAGGTAAAATGACTAACCTATAGAACACCTTAGAAAGAAAAACATATGCAATCTGTGTGAAAATCGATGTCTGCGATGTGTCTTCCTTTGGTTAACAATCCAATTCAAAAAGCTATTCCTGTATAAATATCCTGTATAAAAGTGTTTCTTTTTTATGAGTTGATTTCAATGAGAACACCAGTTATTTTGTTACGACTGACTGTTTTATAAGTGTTTCTCGGTTCCTTTCTGCAGAAAAATGTTCTAACTAGAAGTGGTTATTGATTGTTAATGACACAATTAAACTGTTTGTATTGTACCACAGATTTTCTTGGCATTAACTTGACCGGATCGTTTTTTTGGGGGCGCAGAGTGAGGACCGACCTCCTCTGATGAAACCATGTGAATTGTCGAGAAAGTGAGATCAACTCCAGCTGCAGCCACCGAACACGTTATTTGTAATAACTGTAAATATCACATCTTATGAATCATTGATTGTTTATTATTGTAAATATATTTGAAGTTTGTGCAAGAGCTCGCCGTACAAATCAACGTTCTTCTGTGGTGCCTCTTTCCTCTGAAAGCGACTGTACCGGAGCTCTTCTTCTTCTACTGCTGAGTGTATCTGAAGCACCTGTGAAACCTGAAATAAATAAATGTAAGGTGTGAACACCTGTAATAGCAAAAGGCCTCTGCAGGGAGCTCCACGACCGAGAACAGCACAGGTGTCCTGACCTCACTTTGATCCCCAGGTGAGGCCAGGTGTCTGCACCTTTAGGAAATTACCCTCACCTGTTAACACCCTGAGATATGTGCCAGCCTGTGTTGGCTGGCGTTCCCTTGATGTTCTGCTCTTTTTTTTTTTTTTCCATGAATAAAAAAGCCAGAGTGTAACATTGTGTGTGTTCAGAGGGGGAGAAAATCACTGAAAACAGATCACACCGGAGTCTCTCATGCTCTGCGGGGGGATTTGAAGGTGCACCGACACACGTCAAGAGGTAAAAAAAACACACGCCAACATGACAAAGTAGAGAAGCTTCATTAAGCTTCATTATTTCCTCATTTGACTTTACAAGCGACTTCTTCACCAGCAAACTGAGGTGAAGGCACCGACAAACAACAGGAACTCTGCTGTAATTCTCCTCCTCATTATCAGTGTTTTCAGAAGGATCAGCCGTATTTACTCCAGCATTAGGAAAGGTTTTCCACACAGATGGCTTCTACTTTCCTCCATCAGTGGTTCTCAAACTTGGAGGTGGTCACAGGAATATTAATGAGCTGATTTCTGTGGGAAAGGAAAGTTTTTCACTCGACAGTTTGGGTTCAATAATGCGATAAAAAACACACTGTCCACATCCAGCTGTAGTGTAGAGAGTTTCACCAGGATGTGACTTGACATGAGTGGATCAGGAGCTGAAAGAACCAGCAGAGAACTCTGTATGTGTGAGGCGTTGGAGTCTCACCGCGGGTGGGTATCACGGGTGATTGCTCGGAGAAGACTGGCAAGCACAGAAGAGTTTTGAAACTGTGTCTCCATTAGGCTGTTCGCCGGCTCTCCACGGCACCAAACACACTTCAAAGACTTTCCCCAGATGTCAAAATAGAAATCATAATTACGACAAGAATGGTGACTGATGAATCACCGAGTCTGTTACCGCCGGGCTGCTCATGCTGGTGCTTATTTTAAAAATTAGCAGGGCTACATTAGACGAGTTTTCCAGGAAGCATTCAGAGATGATGCCACATCACGCTGTGGTGTGCCACTTATGAGGAGAGAGGGGGGGGGAAGCAGATACAGTATCTTCTTTTTGTGATATTTGTAGAAAGTTAAAGCAAATAAACAGCAGCCACATGAAAGTTCCAGTCAGAGCACACGGGTCGGGTCTCTGAGGTCAAACTGGAACATAAGGACTCGTTTGAACCCAAAATAGATCCACACGTACAAATTTAGACCGTTTAGGAGGAGTTAGAGGAATCAATCTGAACTCTTTAAAGGTTCAGGAAGGTCATCATGTTGTCTTCACTGAGAGAAATCAGGGCGAATGAGGGAAAGGAACCACATTTAGATAAAAGATGTAAAAGTTCCTGTTCCAGTCATATTTACAGTTAAAACATCATTTGTATCGTAAAAAGAATAAACGTTAAAAAGTTCACTAACTTCCTCTCTGTCCGACAGCATCTGTTGTCTCTCTGGATGACTCGTCCAAAAGACTGAGAGCACATAAAAATCACCGCAGTAAGGAACAAAAATCCTATTTTCTCAAAGTTTGAACATTTTTTGGATGATGCAGATTTAAAAAGTTGACAAAAACACCGATTAAGTTTGGGTTTATGTTTCTTGTCACACTGAGTCTAAATTTGTTCTTAAAGTCTTCGTTCTTTCTTGCATTTACAAAATAACCAGTAAAAACAACATCAGTGAGATAAAAAGGCAATAAAATTTTGCATAATGCAGTAAAAATTAGTGTCAATTTTGATATTCTGTGATATTCTAGTTGGTCCTGGTGAATTTCATTGAATTCTGCAGTTTTTAATCCATGACTTAAAGCTCCTCTGAGGAGTTTTTGACTTTTGTGAAATGACAAAAACAAACAAGATCATCAGTAACCAGACTGATGAACTTTATATCCTCATTTTTATTCACAAAAAAATTACATATTTGACAGAGAAAGTCTGCGGGATAAAAGTTTTTGACCTTAGGTTTCCACTTTAGTGCGTAAAAGACAAGATAAACAAAGACTGCTTTGTCCACAGGGGGCGCCAAACAAAAGTTCCTCACAGAAGCTTTAATATCCTGTTTTTGCAGTTTTAAGAATCATCAACAAGCCGTATTAATTCTACCACCAAGACCATCCTTGTCCTGATATGTTCTGTTCATTTAGTTTTCTCCTGGTTTTCTTATTCGAGTGTACTTTCTGTAGTTGAGTCCTTGTGTTTCTAGTCTGGTTTTACCTCCTCAGTTTTCCCTCCTTTGTTAATTCACCTGTGTCTCGTCTGCCTCACCTGTTGCTCGTTTCTCAGTGTGTATATAGTCCCTGTCTTACCCTGTTTCTTGTTGGTTTATTGTGTGTCTGTGTATGTATATCAATGTCAGTGTATGCTTGTGCCCCCTGTTGTCTCCTTGTGTTTTTTTCCCAGTGACCTTTTGATTCTTTGGATTTTGCTCCTTGTGTTTTTTGGACTTTACTTTTTTGCTATAATAAATCCTTAGTTCTGCATTATTTGGGTCCTTTTCCTTTGTTTTGTGTACCAGACATGGACTCCCTCAGTCCTCTGACATTTGATGCAGTTCTGGGTTTCTATGTAAAAGTTTAAACTTAAAGTAGTTTGAACATAATTTCAGAGTGTTAGCGGTCACACCAGCTGAGATAGTTTCAACCCAGCTCAGAGTAGATGGGTTCAGTCCCCGGTCTCCCTCCTCATTTCCTGCCCACTATCCACTTTCTTATTCTCTCTAATAAAGACGTAAAAAACACAAAAATCCTGGAAATCCTTAAAGCTGTGAGACGATGCCTCTGTGGATTCGATTTTGTTTGTCCAGCACACCCCAGAGATTGTCAACTGGATCAAGGTCTGATGAACGAGGAGGCCAAGTCAACACCTACAACTCTGACATGTTCACTTTTCTACCCGACACATCCCGTCCACTTGCAGGCGGTCATCAAGTTAAGGCTGAGTGGTGGAAAATGAAGTTCTAGAATATAATGAAAAACACCTGAAAATCATTGAATGCTTTAAGACTCGACAAATACAGTCCAGAAATGATTGTTTTGAATCGCTGAAATAACGAAGTGAAACTTTTATCACTCAGAGAAGGTTTGACTTATTCAAATAACATGCAGTTTATATTGCAGGGATGCACATCTGCAGGATAGACACACATTTAAATAAGGTATACATGCTCCATTGAACACAAAGCCCCAGAGTCCTCATCAAGACGTCAATCAACAGCAACATTAACACTTCATAGGAATCCTGGAGAGACGGCAGTTTGGGTTTCATCAATGCAGCTTCACATTTTCTTCCTACATCCTTCAGCATATTGTGTAAATCAGTCAACAACTCTGGAAAAAACGAAGGTCTGAAACTCGTAGATCAGCTAGACGGTCTCAGTGTCCGATAAACCAGGAGAGGAACTGAAGTGAACTCAGGTTAGACCCCGACTGAAATCAGTTATTTGACTAATGAAACTGATAGTTTAGCGAGTATGTTCACTCTCCAGTCTGATATGATAAAACTAGTGAAGAAAAGTCACTTAATTAGGGTTTAATTCCTGGTGTTTTGTGACATAAAGACACAAAGATCAGGTTGGGTGGCAAAAAAAAAAATAATTTTAGGATTATGCAAGGTGGTCTCCCCAAACTCACCCTTCCTGAGTTCTGTTGTGTGTGTGTGATCGGGGTGTGGTCTGTTGAGCTCTGGTCAGGTGACCTGCTGCAGCCAGGTGAGCACAGGTGTGAAGAGGGGGATGGGGGCAGAAGGAGAACAATAGAGGAGCAGGAGGAAATGTTTTAGGAGAGATTTGGCCGGTTCCAGGGAAGCCGGGCCTCTGATCCCAAGAGAGGAAACCCAGGAAGCACCTCGAACTGCAGGTAATCCTCAACGGAGAGCAGTGGAACTGTGAGAACTGGACTCAGAGGGACCATCCCAAAGACCAGTGAGTCTCTGACTTTGCTGAAATTTCCCTCTTTGGTTTGACTGGATTTTATTTCGTCTTATTTGATTATTTCATCCATTTTAGTCTCTTACCCGGAACACTGTTGTCACTTCATATGTATTTATTGTGCTGTTTGTTGGTCTGCTGTCGTACACCTGATTCACTGCAAACAAAATTTACCTGAGGGTACAAATAAAGTAACCTTTGACCTTTGAACTTTTTGATGGATTGTTCTGTTTTGGGGATTGTGGAGCTTTGAGTAAAAAACACTCGACTTGACCCGAAAAACTCTCAAAATTTACTGTGTGATTCCATGACTCCACCCCATGAATAAGTGTCCTCTTTTTGGGAATTCAGATTACGGTCACCCTAGGATTTGGTCCGTTTTATTTTATAAGCGTTTTATTTTATATTTTCTTTGACTTCACCTGGAGAAGTTTTTTCTGGAACTTTAGAAAAGCTAGGACGGTCCGGGTTTGGTTAAAAACTGTGGCTCCTTGTTTCCTGCTCTATACAGTAAACTGTGGTCAATATTATTAAGTTTGTTTTTCACAAAATTGAAACAGGAGTTCCCCAAGGAGCCGTCCCGGGCCCCTTCTTTTTCAGCCGTATAATTTAACAAATCACCAGGATAAACCTAATCATAGGTCTTAAGATGTATGAAGGCGACACAATTGTGTATGTATGAGGTAAAATCTGTGGTGCTGTTCCAGGACAGCTAACTTTAAATATATATATATATATATGTAAAAAATGCAATCTTAACTCAATGCCTGTTGTTTGACATGAAACGATAAGAAAACTGAGTCAGTCTGTTTTTATCTGGAAATCTATCTGCATCAGAATGACTGAAGATCAGAATTTGACTTTTTAACAGGGAGTCTGCCTCCAGTGGACACTCTTGGAACTGCAGTTTTTGTGCTCATGTTTAAGATCGTAGGTGGCCTCTTGATTGTCAAACTCCTTTGACCCTTTTTGATCAGAGAAACTGATAAAAACAGCCGTAGTGGTGCTATAATCTTCATACACCGACTCCTCTCCACATTCGAAGGCCTGTAGGAGATTCACTGAGCAGCACCTTGGTTACGTTTCTGCTACATTTAGCTCCAGATTAATGTGGACGAGACATCAGCAGGTCTGGTTGGATGGGGGTCCTCAGTGGCTACCCATAAGCCCCTGGGACTGCACAGTAAATCAAACAAGAAATGCAGCGGAAAGCCTAATAAAGTTCTTCTAATGATTGTAATCTCTGAGGAAGCACCTTCAACGTAAACCAAACTTCCCTCTCCCTCGCTCTCGTCCTCTGAGCTGCTGGGAGAAATCACTAAATTTTCCCCTGAATAAGAGCACCTCGTCTCCAGACCTCCGAACGTGCAGAAGCGGAAACAGAAGGTCTGAGGTGTGGAAATTAATAACATTAATCACTGAGCTGCTTTCCAGCCTCCTCTTGCCTGCTCTTTGCCTTCTGGTTTCAAGAAGACGAGATTAAACATGAACCAACTCAGAGGGGACCGAAACCGTCCTTCTGATCACATTAATTCAGCAACATCTCGCTCACATGAATATGCATACTGATTTCTGATAAATCTGGCACATACCCCGTCTTATTCTGATTATTAGCACGTTCGAACTCTTGGTATGAAGGCCAACATTCAGTCATGTGAGTCCTGGACCTGGTCTCTCCAGATATCACCTTTGTTTAAGGGCCATCGGGCCGGTTTCCAGCATTGTAAACGGTGATGTATTACATTCCAGCTCTGTTTGTATGTCTCGGGCCGACACCTCCGGCTCTCTTTTATTCTCTCTTAGTCATAACAGCTTTTGTTTGAAGTGCGGAGGCAGACACAACATCTCAGCCGTGGCTCCACAGCGTTCAGACCTTCCACCTCTGTTTACAGCTCGAGCCTCTCAGGCATAATGTTGTGAAACGGACAGATGGATCTACCGAGCTCCAGAAGAATCCTGTTATCTACAAAGTTTGTGCCAAAGCCTTCGGTTCATTCTCACTGCTGTGGAGTAGATATCCTTATCAACATTTATCCTTCCTCCAAAAAAGACCGATCATACTCTTTCTGGGACACCTACAGAGAAGCTTCGTATCATTTAAGGTTGAAAAACGTCCTTATTCTTCTTTTTCTGGCCTCAGTGGAAACTCTCAGTTCAGCAGTAGGAGCCTTAAATGCTTTACTTTTTTCCCTTTCACTGATTTTAATCAAAACGGAGCTGCTGGGTGTTACTTTTTACACAGCTCATGAACAAACCTAAAAGCTACGTCTTTACGGAAACATCCGAGTCCTGCTGAGAGCACCTCAGCTCCAGATTCAGCCATATAAGTGTATGAAACTCAAATCTTGGCCAGTGTTTTTGTCTTTTCAAACTTCTTTTAAGCAAAGTTTTAAAAACAGCAGAGTCGCTCGTAGAATTTCAAGGAACCGAAGTTCTATCAAAAGGAACTAGAGAAGTTGTTTTTCTTTTTGAAGGTGTTATATATTTTTGTGATATCTTAAATTTAGACATTTTCACGGCTTATGTCTTTGAGTAGACCTTATGAGACATTTTTCGCTTTAAATAATACAAAAGATTGATATTGACATGCTAACGTTTCAGTTTATAGCTTTGGTTACACTAGCAGCTGTTATGATGTTACTCACAGCTCGTGAAAGGCCTTTATCGATGCGGCGGCTCCAAGCTGAGATGCAAATCCAGTTCCTGTTGGTTCATAAGCAAATTATCATTGAAGGGGTGAGCATCAACGGTTTCTATCTAGCTGAAAAAAATAAAACTAAACCAACCTACTAAATAGATTTAAGTCCTGGGAAAAGTCGTGGTTAGGATTAAAAATATGTTTCGACTAACTTCAGCATTGAAATTTGGTTTAATTAGATTGACCAAATTCTGAATCCCCAAAAAGAGGACACTTCTACACAGGGCGGAGTCACAGAATCGGATGTAGTAAATTTTGAGAGTTTTTCGGGTCAGGTAAAGTGTTTTTTACACGCTTCTTACTCAGTTTGTCAACACGACAGAAACTTAAAACTTTCATACAGAACCCATTTGAAGGATTTTATAAACGACGCTGGACAGTCACCAAAAAAGAAAAAAGTGGACATATGGTCACTCTAGGTTAATAGTCACCAGTGTTTTGGTTAAGTGACTTAAGATGTAATGTTCCTTTTTATTTTATATTGTCTGTAAGCAGAAACCTCCAGGTTCAACAAAATGAAGCTGATGTAGAAATCCTAAAAACTGCAGTTCCTTAAGCGTCCACTTGGGGCTGGCTGCAGAAGCACCAAGAACGACATACACACTCATTCAAAAAAACATCTTTACGACAACAACAACAACAAAATGTTTACAGCCTCAGTGAAGTTTGACCAAAAGTTAGATTGAGTCAGCATGGCGTTGCAGTATTCTATGTCCATGTTTTGTACATTTTTTATTGGGTATCTATTTTGGAAAAGTAAATAAGTTAATATAAATTTTATGTCTCATGCATCCATTTCCTGTAAAGTGATACGACTGACACTTATTGGACACAAGAAAACTACTAATACATGTACAGAACAAAATAATCGACCAACACAAAGTGGAAGTTTCCTCATAGCATCAGTTTTTTTTTACATGTTTCTGCAACATTAACATGCAAAACACTTTAAAACGACTCTAACATTATTCTAACACGATGCCTGATTTTCAAATCCGTGGAAATAAAAAGTGAAAGAAGTCCAGAGTGAGTTAAAAACTGATAAATGTTGGTTTTTGCATCCTTGTGTGTCTCTTGCTGAGAAATAAAACATACTGTTGAGCCCGCTGAGAGGGAGAGAGAAAATCAACTCATCTCTATTTATTGAGTCTGCGGCCTGTTGTTCATTTTCGAGGAATTTAGCTGAAGTGGCCTCTTGTTATTTGAAGTACTAATTGAACCCATTTTCCTTTTCCAAACCTGTCTTACCACTTTCATTTTAAAGCAATAACTCATCGATGAACAACACCACTCAGCGGACGCCACTTGTCACGATGGTTCCACTTATGCATTGACCAAAACAGACTCAACAGTGAAAGTTGCATCACACATTTTTCAGGCCGCTGCCTCGTCCAAGTGCCTCGCCACTTATCAGTCTCGATTGTGTTTAATATATTCCGTTTTTATGCTGTTTTTCAAAAGCACAGAGCTGAAAGCATCTCAGCGGGTAAACCGGTGGATTTAAGGTGTGTGCGTTTTTCGCAAACTTCTGCTGCTTTTTTTTTCGACTCTCGCACAAACCTGTCCTCTGAGGTTTGCGCGCCGAGTCCCTTCCAATAAAACTCCCAAACAAGAAGGCGAAAAATCCTATTCAGTCTTTGTCTTTGATATTCCTAAATGTCCTTAAACCGAGAAGAACCTTTGCAATATTTGAACCTTATTGAACTTAATTCTTCGGCTTAAAGTAAAGCGCTCTTGCATCTGTGTCAGTGTTTGTAGATGTGAGTTGTGATCTTCCAATCATGGGGATGCTGATCCAGGAGAAGTTGACACGTCCTGGTCGCCAATCTGCACGGGGAGCTGAGGTGTGGATATTTCATTCAGGCACTTCTTTCCTCTGATCATAATTGCACAGCGACAGATGGGCAATGGTGGAGCGCGCAAGTATACAGCGTGCATAGAAATGTGCTCATAGCTCAGAAGAGAAACAGCTTTAAAGCAGTCAGGTGTGGGGTTTTATTTTGACACCTTGCCTGCCTGCGAAACACCTACTTTCTTCTCTGGCGGGACAGAGTTGCATAAAAAATGGTCATAAGTTCTTGGTGAGATGCAACTTTCAGCCATGAATGGTTGTAAATCTTCTTTTGTTACAGGTGAATGATGGAAATTGTGGCCGTTTTTGAATCAGAGAGCTTCTTCGCGGAGATAATGGAGCAGTCTCGAGGCCTCTTGCCACCTCGACAAGTAAGCATCAAGAGAAAAAAGGAGAACGGAGAAGAAGCAGTTAAATTGCTTTAACAGCTGTGCGGGGTATGAATAACTCGTTAGCCGTGTGCATTTTAAGTCATCAAATCCTGAGACCCCCACCACCACCACCACCCTCCTCCTCCTCCTCCTTCTCCTCCTCGCAAACACACACCTACCCCTCATTTGCAAAGGGGGACAGGAGGGAGGTGCTAATTAAAGTGATAAAGAGAACAAATCTTATCAAATCCTGAGCTGGAGGAGTTTTTTTCTTTTTTACGGGGCGGGGTGGTGGAGGTGTTGGTGTCTAAGGAGGAAAAAAATCCAGGGTTACATCTGTATTCTCAAACACTCGGGGAAGGTGTTATTTCATGTTTAATTAATTAAGCAGTCTCTTTAACTGTATCTTGACAAATGTGATGCCAATTAGATAGTGAAGAGAAATTGTTTATTGCTAATTAATGGCTGATTTCAGGGGAAAAGAAGTTTAATCCTCTGATACCTCACCTTTTTTATTGCAGAGCAGGAATAAGCCTCCACCTCTGACTCTGACTCTGCGGCTCCGCCCGTCCTTACATGAACCGACAAGATCAGCTGGAAGTTAGGAAAAAATAAACTTTTAAAAACAACAACCAACAAAATAAAAACAGAGTTTGAAGAGAGGTGAGATAATCTACTCCTTTATTAGTCCCACAAGGGGAAATTCCCAGAGGCCCAAGTTTTGGCACTTCGAGTTGATCAACATCAGATCGGTATCAGTAACAAGAACGATCTGAAAGTGTGAACATTCGGTTGGTTAGTCGAGAAACAGGTTTTAATGTTGTTTTTGGATTTACAATAAAAGTCTGAGTCTTCTTTAGCTTTAAAAATGATGAGTCATCCCTTACGGGGTGTTCACACCAAGTGCGAGTAAAAACACGTATTCATGCAAATCTAGACGCATGAATGAAAAGTATTTATAACGTAACTATTTTACTTTTTTATATTTATTTATCTTATCTTATTGCTATATTCTAGTTGTGTGCTTTATAGAAAGTGTCTTTGAGTACCTTGAAAAGCGCTATACACTTCATTCACGTGTCAAAGCGGTTTATGCTAATTTCAACGGTAATCCCTGCCAATCCAAGTGAAAGACAAAGGTTATTTACAATTTAGCAGGTAATCTGTCCTCCTCACTCACTCACCTCCAGGCAAGCTCCTTTTTATTTCCATTTCAATAATTGAAAGAGAAGGTATCACATAATTCGGGGCACCAACACATCGACACGATCAGTTTGTCCTCCATTTTAGGACGACAACCGTCTGTTGTTACATCACCCGCCAACCTTCATGCTGATTGGTTTTTGCGACGTGAATATCCGCTCAAGTTGAGACATTTTCAGCTCCTGCTCAATTCGCGTCATTCGCGTCTTTGTATTGACTTAACATGTAATTCATTCGCGTGAACGATTCTACTCGCGCTCGGTGTGTGGAGACAGTTAGAGCTTCTACAGCTAGCTTGCTGGCAGTCTGCCTCTTCTTCTCCAACTCTCCCCTGTTAAAGTTCCTCCCGATAACTCTTGGTACGACTTTGTGATCACTCTGAGCTCAATATCACTTGGTTAGAAGACAGTTACCATCAGTACCAATTCACTGCTACAGCCCTGAAATGGAAGAATGCAGCTAATTAAAACATATATCAGACGTATCTAAAGCCTGAACCGTGAATTTGTCTGTTTTTGTTTCGTTTGTTTGTTTGTTTTCATTTTAATGACGAAGAAAACACGTTCGTCACTTTTTTATCGAAGCCTCAGTGTGATTTTCTTTTTGTTATTTAGTTTGTTTTTACTAATTAAAGATGACTCCACAGATCCCCAAAAGTCCTGATGGTATTTTACTAAGTCGAACTTTAGAATGAATGTTTCTGTCCACATTAATTCAATAAAACGTCCCCTCAGGTTCAGCGATATTGTTCTTCATTTGTTAGTAAATAGTGAATTTTATCAAACGCAAACAACACCAAGGTGATGTCAGCAATATGTTTTTCCATTGGCTGTCCTGACCTCTGACCTTTGGGGTCAGTATATCAGCTGTTCAAACTAAATAAACGAAGACGAGTTGATGAAGTGAGTTATCAGCACTATGAAGTCATCATGTTTATTATTATTTATAAATTTTCTCAAAAATAAATCTAAACTTTTTCCAATATTTTAACAAATTCTTCCAAACTCCATATTTATTTTTAATATTTCAACTTTTTTTCCCCTTTTTTACTGAAAAAGAAAATTAATAGGGACAATTCATGGAGAAAAAAACAGAAACTCCACCCAATAAAAAAGCAAAAATTAAGATAAAACATCTTTGAGGATAAAAGCGTTGAGTTCAGTCAGATTAAGTCCAGACAGAGAGAGGTCCTCACTCCTCACTCAGGTTGATTCGGGCCACAGGTGTGTTTGCAGAAGCACCCCAAGTGGCCAAAGAGGGTACTGCAAGTCATCAAAAGGAAAGGCAGGTCAGGCAGATGAGCTGTGTCGCCATGTGGGAATTTCTCTGTTTTCATCCAAATAAACTAGAAAAAATCGATGAAGCTGAAACAAGCTCCTCATGTCCATGTTTGAAATCTAAAAGTCATAAAATAATGAGTCTAACTTCTTTTACAGATGAGAAAATAACCAGCAGGACTCGGTGCAGCTACGTCTCTGACTTTATTGTTTTTATTAAATGCTGCAACATGTGAGGCTTTATTTGTGTGAAATCTTGAACCATGCTGATCTATTATCTAATATCACTTCTTGTTTTGATCTTTTAAGAGTTTTTTTATTTTTTTATCTGAGTCCATGCTGTTATAAATGTGACAGCTCTGATCTTGTAATAAAACTCTAAACCAGATGAGACAACTTTCATGTCTTTATTCGAGCAGAAACGACATCACAGGTCGGAGGGTAATTGAATTTATACCCAGTTTGATGGTTTTACGTCACACAGCGGCGAACATCAGATTGTTTCTTGTGCTTCATTCATGATAGCTGGTCTGATTAGGTGGATTTCAGTGGACGGACTTATCTTTCAGGTCGTCTAATTGAATCACCTGATGACTGAGGACCTGCAGCTGTGGGTGACGGGAGGGGTCAGTCATAAAAACACCGCTCAGCAGCTCGAGGAAAGCCTGAGGCTGCAACCGCCGAGCCAAACGTTTGATAGAGCTGTAAAACCGCGCCGTTGTTTTTTTTTAGCTTTTAGGTCCTAATAAACACACTGAGAGAAGCTGGAACTTTAAAGGTGGATTCCAATATTTTTAGAGCATTTTTATGTCTTTCAGGCCTAAATGACGAACTGATTAGAAATCTTATGAGACCTCATGTGACGGAAAACACGCTTGTCTACATGTATACTTCTTTTTAAACTATAATGAGTTTAAAAAGTCCTTTTTATAAAGGCCTTAAAAAAGACTAAACGTGACCTGAACCCTGACCCAGATCCTCCTGCAGCAGATTTTAAGTGAAACTTTTACGCATTTGAAGAGTCTTAACTCGTTCAGTGCCAGGTTTCATGTATGCAATTTCTACCCGGTGCCACCATTGACTGCAATAGAAATTTCCATATCTTTCAGGAACCGCTGAATATCTTGTACTTGGACTAGACTTTAGTGCCATATCTTAAAAGAAAGGGATGATTCTCTTCTTTCACCAGAAAAAAAAGTGAGTCTCTAACCCACTCCTGTGTTTGGTTATGGCCTGCTCAATGCAGCGTGGTCAGATCATCTTTAATGATCTGGAAAAAGAAAAATGGGAAAAACAGATTTTTACAAAGGAGAGACTTTCAAGCAGAACTCTGATCGTCTGTTTCATTTCATTTCAAAATACTTTACCAGTGGCATCAAGTTCCTCCCTCCTCGGACATCAGAAGTTTTATTGGCTCTCAAGAACCTGACGCCGTGACGTAAACCACACGGACTGCTCGCGTCCTCTTTGCTGGGACTGTCGCTGAATTCCGTCTCGCTCACCAGTACTGTCACCGGCGGCACAATGACTTGGCGGAAAATTGCTTCTTCAATTGTCTGCTGACGATGAGAAGGTCCGGTACCAGGATCTCCACTGGATCCAGAGACTGTAGCACCGCGCCCACGGAAGCCGATGCGCAGAGACCGCTAGCTCTTGGCTAATGACTTCGGCATTTTCCTATAGAGAAAAAACACTCCACGACTCGGCTAATGAGCACACTTGATGGCACACCTCTCACTGTTGAGTAC